ACAGGGGCATAACCAACCCCTAATTCCTTAACTTACTTCCTATCTCCAAAACGCCGGCAACACATTTACAGCTTCTCTGGTGTTAGTGTGTGTCCAAATCCGACGTCGATCGCTTACCATCAGGTAATCCGTCGGCACGTTGCCGTATAAAAACGAGGCGCTAAAAATCAAGTTTTTATACCATTAAATAGATCAATAACTTCACTTAAACTAACTTAAAGTATGTAGTAAGTAACCGATACTTTAGCACAAGCGGGTGTATTTGTTGATAGTGGATGGAAACTTGATATCCTGCCAATGAAATCGGAGCCGGTATAGCCAATCTTAATGAAGGTATGTGTGAGGGAGACACGCGTCTTACATTCATCGTAATATCGAGTTACATTATGCCAGTTATTCTATCTAGGGGTACGCATAGATGACGGCGTTTATTTTGTAACAAAGTACCGAAGCGGTAGACAATTTTGTGCTATTTAAAAAATATTTTTCCTACATTTATACACTCACCGGCACGGAAACTTGGCCACCATCTAAATAGCCGATAATTTCTATTTAAATATTAAATTTTCACTGTATTATGGGTTTATGCACTTACTAACTACTACTATACACTTACCGGCACGGAATCTTGGCCAAGATTCTGTGCCGGTGAGTGTATATAAAATATTGTCTACTCTCGCGCGGTTTCACCCGGTTTGCTCGGCTTCATTTAATCGTAGCGTGATGTTTTATAGCCTATATCATAGCTATCTATCAGTGAAAGAATTTTGGAAATCCGACCTGCGGTTCCAAAGATTACCCCCTACATACAAACTTACAATTTTTACCTCTTTACAATATTAGTATAGATATAAGTTAGTGGGTGCATTTGTGGAAAATACAAACTTACATACACATCAAACCTAGACCCGAAAAATAATATTTGAACAAGGGTTATTCCATAAGGGAATCGAAACCGCGACAGGATATGCAGTTAAACCTTTTATTAAAAGTTAGTAGTTCTGTCGCCTACCAAATCCCAACAAAATAAAAACTTAATAATCTTTTGCATGTCCCGAGAGAGGTGCCTGGAGCACCTAGATGGACACACATAGTATAAAAGTTAATATTTTTTGTCAGTCTTTTCGTAAGTGTAGGTAAATACATCCGCCCGCTTTCGGACCCATCATACGAAAGCAATATAAATCAAAGACTCATTTTTAAAAGATTCAACATAAAAAATGTAAAGGCCCGACACTTAACAGTGCAAAATAACCCACAGTTAAGATCATAAGATATCTTTATCCGATTATCTAAAAAACGCTAAACCCGGTATTAACACACCTGGTTAAAAGTTTGAAAAAAATAAAAAAGAGTAAAAAAAACGACATTGTATCGGTAATCCTCTATAGGAAGCACTTGAGCTTCGATATTTAAAAAAAACCCGGCGCCTATTGTTGGCAACCCTCTATAATTATTATTTTCGTAGCTGGCGACACGGAGGCACACAATGGCGTCCCTACGCACTTCCTGTTTGCCCTCGCGCGCTATTAAACGTGAATGCGAACGATTGGCCAATTTGAATTTCGAATGTCGTATAATGGAATACATTTGTCGGCTATTGGTGTGTAATTTATTTCTTTTTTTTAATAACTATGGATAGTTATTAACTATTTTGTGGATAAGGCGATATTTGTATACAGCCTTTGTCAGATTACTTTACTGTTTTGTCACATAATTGAGGAAGTAAACAGATTTGCCTTTTTGGTTGTATTTCTTTGTAAAAATGTTACGCAAGTAATTATCTTCTAATGGATTAAATGTTGTTACAAGTTTTTTATGTCTTTAGACTCGAACTGTTGCAGCAAGAAACTTCATAAAGATTAATATTAAAGAGATATTTGGGAATCTTTGGCCCAATCCGATAATTAGCTAGCTCCCTCATTTAACAAGAAATTATTTTAACGTACAAAACCAAAACAATGTCCAAAAAATTTCACCTACTACCTACAATCATGAATTTAACGATATGCTTTCATATTCGTATCTTTATTGATATATAATTCAAGAGAAATAACTGTGTAACGTTAAAATATTATGACGTCACAACGTGCTATTTCATGCAAGATTTTCGTTTTTGACATTTTTATAAAAATATTGAATTTGTCTAGTTGGAAATTTTTTTTTAATGTGACAGGACTATAGGACGGCACAAGGGCTAACGCATGACCTGATGGCGTGCAATCAGCGCTGCCCATAGACTCCCGCAATAACGGAGGAGTTACGAGTGCTTTGCCGAACTTTTGAGTATTAGGGATTTTGGGATTGGGTGGGGAAAGGATTGGGCCTCCGGTAACCTCACCCACACGGCGAAACACAACGCTGTGTTTTTTCACGACGGTTTTCTGTGAGGCCGTGGTATCACTTCGGTCGAGCCGACCCATTCGCGCCGAAACAAACATTTTAAACTACTATATTATCGATAAAAACTCGCATTCTCACCCGGTTCCCGAAGTGATGGGCAGAATTCGGCCTATTATTATATCAAAGCCCAATTTTCACTAGTTGAGGCCCATTTAATAGGGGAGGAGACTTGTCGGTTTAAACGCAGCCCTAACAACAGCCTAAGGTTACTTGTAGAACAATCCCGACATCACTTGACAACCGATAGCCGTTGTAACCTCGGGGCAGCGATAGGGGTGTGCAATAAGTGAGAGAGTCGCGACCTTTGTAAAGCGATCATGTTCGTATTGTGACAACCCTAGCCTGAGGCTACTGCTTACTTTGTTAGTATCAAGCGTGATGTTTGTTGTTTTTGAGGTTTTTATGATTGTAGTGATTGAGGGTAGGGAAATTAGTGAGTTGTGTGCTGGTATGAAAGAAATCAATATTTAAATCTTTTTTAAATTGACACTTGCATAAATCTGGGTTCATGATCTAATGAACTCAATGTCACATTGGCATCAACTCGAGATTTTATTTAACGAGCGATACGTGTGGTGTGTTTTCCGACTTACATTCAGAGGAGTTTAGAAAACGAAAGAATATGAGTTAAACCCATCTCTCCATTTATTGGGGGAGGAGGGGAGAAAGGACAAGGTGATAAAAGAAAGACGCAAATAATAACACAACCCTTATTTTTGCAATAAAAATCAGAATCAAATCAAAGTTATACGTCAATCATTAATGCATTAACTTCTGTAGCTCACGTGCGCTCCCTCCGACGGCCAATTAACGAGTGACGGGGTCGGGCAGGGGGCAGGGTACGCTGCTTAAAAGGGGGAGGGGGGCAGGTCACGTGACTCAATTAAATTGCACGCTCGCGCCATTGTTGGCGGAAGTGACGTGCGGCCGAATTAATTTTTAATAAACTCACAACTGTTTTTGTGTTGATGTACGTCGACGGTTATTAGTTTGTGTTCAGGATTATATTTTATGTTTGTTTATTTATTTATTTCTGTCAATATTTTTTAGATTGAGTTTGTATTTTTTTTTGCTTTAATATCACGAATTTACTTTTAGATGTTTTAAAAAGTAACATGGAACAACAACGTGAAAATAAATATGCACAGAAACCACTACATAGTATAAAACAAAGTCGCTTACTCTGTTCCAATATCCCTATGTATGCTTAAATCTTTAAAACACGCAATGGATTTTGATGCGGTTTTTTGTAATAGCTAGAGTGATTGAAGACAAAGGTTTTTATGTATAATAAAATCCATTGTACACGGAGAAATTTAGTATTAGCATGGCACACGTGGGAAGCCGGGGTGCGGTCGCTAGTGATAGATATATTTTTCGCGCTATACGTCCGTATTCATAACTCGCTATCAGTAACTGTCTAGACCCGTTCGTATCGGAGGTGCAAGTAAAAGATGGCGTTTATAATTCTAAAAACGTTGGTAGAAATAATACGATAATAAACAATACACTAAATATAAAACAGTAACAGATTTTCTGAACTCACTAGATTAGGCAAACGAGGCCTAAGATACCAGAGACAAGCGCATCCGAACAGCATAGCTATATAAAGTTGTTTAAATAACTGTATGAAATTAGTCACTGTGACCCGGTTATATAAATCTGGCAAGTTTTTTTATGGAATAGGAGGCAAACGAGCAGACGGATCACCTGATGGTAAGCGATCAGCGCCGCCCATGGACACCCGCAGCACCAGAGGAGACACAGGTGCGTTGCCGGCATTTTAACAAGGAGTACGCTCGTTTCTTGAAGGTTTGTAGGTCGTATCGGTTCGAGAATACTGCCGCCGGGAGATAATTCCAAAGTATCAATGTGTATGTACTTTCTATGATTATTTAGAGACCAATGACACACGGTGAAGTAAAACATCGTGTGAATGTTAGAAAAGGTTGTACCTATGTGGTTTGTCAACACAACTCATTATAAAAAGAAAAAAGGTTACAATGTCAATTTTAACTGCCATCTTGGACACACGGCTCGCTTCCTTTTTCGTAAGAACAAATAAATCTTAAATATCTACCTATCGTATTCTTTATTTTTTACGATTATTTCCAACAGTAAAAAACCTTGACTTAGTCGCCGATTAGACGGCACGACTCTAAAACTCGGTTTCTGAAGGCTTGTCCACGCTAAAATTAACTAATCTCCTGTTAAATCTCTTGTCAAGTCATCTGATTGGTTGTTGATAATTCAGCCAACGAATCAGATGACTTGACAAGAGATTAAATTGATTTTAACATTGATCGACCTTTCGGAAACCGGGTGTTAGTCACCGATCTGACGGCACGACTCTAATTTATAAGTTCGGATGGATCATGTGGTATAATCGCTGTTAGGCTGTTAGTGTAACAAAATCTGGCGATCGAGAGTGCCCGTCCGCCCTAAGACCTAAGTTTTAGTCGGCACCTATATATTGATGGTGATTATAATTGATTAGTCAACAATTCACCTGCTTGTCAAGTTTTGTAATGGTAAAAACATCAACAGAGCCTCTCAGGTTATGACGATGATGATTACGAGTGTAACAGTGTACTTACGATGTTGTTGCGGCGGCGGTATGGTGGCGTAGCCCCCGCTGCGGGGCAGGTGGTGGCCCAGCATGCGGCGCCCCGCCTCCTCCATGCTCGCGATGGTGTTGGAGCGAACCATACCTGCACATATTGAGAATACTTTAATCCATCAAACCCCAAGCGGACGCCGGCGTTTGCGTACATATTATTCCTTTATTGTGCCTCGAATTACCACGATTGAAACGTTAATGTGCTTGTAAGACCATTTTTTACCAATCATTTTCTCAACTGGTATCGATTTGCCATCGTGTGTGATTTTAATTAAAATCAATAAAGTGTGGGAGAGCCATACTTCGGCACGAATGGGTCGGCTCGACCGGAGTGAAACAACACAACAACAGCGTTGTTTCGCCGTGTGAGTGCGGTTACCGACCTTATCCTTCTACCTCTCCCCTAATCCTTAAGTCTTCGAAACCCTATCCCTAAAAGGTCGACTATGCACTAACTCCTCAGGTGTTGTAAGTGTCCATGGGCGACGCCGATTGCTTTTTTTTGTCAGAGGAAAATCATCAAATGACTTCTCCCGCCCTGGCTGAGGCGAAAGGAAGTGTCAGATTTTACTGACAAAAACTCCCGTTCCTTCTTTTGCTACAGGCCGATGCCGCGATGCCACATTGCGCTTACACCACAACCCCGGCTGAACATCAGCCCTATAGGGCTAGCGGGCTATTGGCTCTTTGAGGCGCGCGCGGAACTTTACACAATGTAGGCTCGTGTCTGGTTCTGGTCGGGGCGGCGAGCTACCCTTACTCGCCGTCCGGAGACCCGTGCCGATAGCTTTCCATCAGGAAATATGATCGTATGATCGCTTGTCGACTTTTCCCAACCCATTTGGAAAAAAAATTAAATAAAGATTTATAATGTCATTAAATCCTTACCAATCTGCGGCCTCCAGTTCCTATTCTCCTCATGGGACAGGTTTCCAGGTTTGAGTACCCTTGGGGGCTGCTGAGCGCCCTCTAACCGTCGCGCCGGGAACTCCTTGTCGTAGGCAGGGTCCACGAACCTCACGCACACCACGTGGTTACCCAGTACTGGCTGCAGACCTATCACTGGAGATGGCAGCTGGCTGTAGGGGGAAGTGAAAGAAAGAAATATTAGTTTACTAGCAGCCCACCCCCGCTTCGCACGGGTCCAACCTACCTCGCTAACAACGAAAGGATCCCTTTTTCTCAACTTTCCCCTCTACTTTTCTAAAATTTTCTTTCATAAGAACCTTCTCCTGACAATAATAAATACAAAACAAAAGGATTTGTCCAGTCGTTTTTGAGTTATGTGCTTACCAACACATGTTGCGATTCATACATACATATACATATATTATGTTATAGTAATTGACAGGTTGGTAGTGGAAAGGGGAAAGGTAAAGAGTGGAAAGAGGGTATGGCGTGAGGGATAAAGAGCATGAAAACAGAAGAAAGTGGGGGAGAGGTGGGGACATGAGGGAAATAGGCGGGGTGGAGAGTACAGACAGGAAGTAGGAGAAGGGACGGGATTTGAACAGCAGTATGGCGAGAATAAATAAAATAAAATATGTCATTAAAAATGTGTAAGATGTTTAAATAAAAAAGTCTAAATAATAACAATCGTAAAAGCTAACTTTTTCTAGGCTACTAAATATAAGCAACAATAAAATAAAATCAAAACAGTTGTAGTTTTAAATATAGGAAAAAGTAGACAGTTGAAGACCCACGTTTCCCTAGTCTTAGAAGGGTATGGGCTAATAGTGGCTATGGTTGAATGAGAAACGAAGATGTTCAAGCAGAGAGCCTAGTATAGTTACAGTTATCAGTAGTCAATAATTAAACAAATATATGATTTATAGCTGCTCTCGCGCAGTTTCACGCTCAGCTCTATTCGATCGTAGCGCGATGTTTATAGCACGCAGAAACATTGTAGCTACGTATCAGTGAAAGAATTTTGGCAATCCGACCAGTGGTTCCAAAGATTACCCCCTACATACAAACTTAAAAATTTTATCTCTTTATAATATTAGTATAGATAGTACAGATATCACTAAACATACCCGCCAATAACCACACAATCCCTGCTCAGCATGACATCCCCGGTGACACCGTCGCAGCGGTATGGGTACTTGTGTTTTTCCTCAATCAGCTGCCTCAGCCGGCCCCCAGCGCTGGAGTACAGGCCCAGCAGGAACGAGTAGCTGGCGTTGGCCGTGCCCACGTAGAGGCGGTCGTGACCGCGGATGTTGCGTTGTTCTGTGTAACAAGAATATAAAATATTATTTTTAGCTATGAAGTCATGGTATTTTTGCGTTGAATATTGTAAGCACAAATTGCTTGTACGGATAATATAATCATGAACGTTGAACTGGCTGCGGCGTCACTCCAATATCATCCACAGTCGCCTGCAGCTTCAAATTGAGAAGTGAGAAGGACCCTATGAATGACCTTGAGGTCCCTCCTCCTCTGTCATATATATTTATTTATATATACTTTATTGTACACATTATTAAAAATTTAACAAAGAGCAGGCTTACAAGCACAGAATGCTGTCTTATCACACAGGTTGATTTCTTCCAGACAACCTTTGGATGTTATAAGAAACCTGGGAAAAGGCAGTCTAGTGCACAATAAATTGGTAATAAATACTCGTAACATACATATAAACTTATATACATGCATACATACATATACCCAGCACAATAATCCAAACTAATATTATAAACGCGAAAGTATGTCTGTCTGCCTGTCTGTCTTTCTTTTCTTCACACCTAAACTACTGAATTGATTTCTGTGAAATTTGGTACAGACATAGTTTAGAACTCGAAAAAGGACATAGGATAGTTTTTATGCCAAAAATCTACAGCAAGTCACTATTCCACGCGAACGGAGTCGCGGGAAAAAGCTGGTAGATATTAAATTATTATGTACTAACTACTCTCGCGCGGTTTCACCCGCTGCTTGGCTCTATTAAATCGTAGCGTGATGTTTTATAGCCTATAGCACTCAGGAATATTGTAGCTATCTATCAGTGAAAGAATTTTGGAAATCCGACCAGCGGTTCCAAAGATTACCCCCTGCATGCAAACTTACAAATTTTACCTCTTTATAATATTAGTATAGATTATTAGAAGCGCGCATGCTCACGATTCTGATACAATATGTATAAGAATTGCTCGTTTTATTTGTAAGACTTACTCTCAGCCTCAGTGAGGTCGTCGTAGTAAGGTTCGAGTGCCTTGAAGAGTCGCTCCTCGTCCACGAAGGGCAGCAGAGCGACGCCCTGCCACGCGAACTTCTTGCCGTTCAAGTCGATCTTGAAGTCCGTCGGGTAGAAGTCGATTATTGGGGAAAACTGTTTGGAAATAATAAAAAATATTATTTTCATTAATGTTTTACGTAATTTTTTGCTTGTAAACTCTCGCACGAATAAAAAAAAACAAAAAAAAAGTACGCTAAGAAAACAGTAAATTATTGTTTTGTAGTGGACTGTTAGAGAATGTTGTGGTGGCCATGAGGTTAAGACGTCCGGTTCTCATGCATGAGGGTGCAGTTTCTTAACAATTAGACTTCACATTGGTTCTCATCAGGTTTTAAGGCCACAACCTCACGCCTTAAGATAGCGGGCCCCACAATATTATAATACAATAAAACCTTGTTATAAGCTTATGCTTACTATGTATTAAATATCCTTTAAAACATGGAATCACATAACAAGTAATGAAAAACAAAATACACTGGTAGCTCGACAATCAAAAGGGTAAAACAAAAAAGTATTATCACTGATAAGGTTTATCCCTGAAACAATAAGGTCGATATTGCAATACTTACAGGATCGCTCATCAGTTTCGCCCAGGGTTTAGGCACATGCGTGGAACTGGCGGCCGGGAACACGCCCATCAACTGCTCTAAGGGGCGGAACTGTGGGAAATGTTATATAACAGTTACATTCTAGGATTTAATATTGCATAGTCAATGTAAATTAAAATTTTATTGCAAGAATAATAGAAGTCGACACGTTTATGACGTTTGACGCTCTGATTGGTCTGTTGCAAGTTAACCAACCAATCTAAGGGCGGTAAAGGTCGAAGGGCCTCTGCGAGTTGGCTTCAGCCCCTCATACACCTTTCAAAGGTCCTGTATCCTGTGGTCCCGTGGATGGAATAGAATATACATAATAATAATAACGGAAGAAAAGCTTCCATTCACAAACCACACACCGCTTAGTGGGAGCTTTTTAGTTTGTTTTTCTAGTTGTTTAGTTTTTATAGAGTGGAAGTACTCACAGGTTGCGTGCCCTCCTCGAACTTGGTGGAAAGGCCGCAGATGTTGACAAAGTCGGAGGCGAAGGGTGCGTAGTGGTAGGGGAAGTACCACTTCCAGCTGGCGCAGCCCTGGTAGTAGTAGCGGAGCACCCAGCACAGCCCGCGCACGTACTGCAGGGCTACGCGGTACCTGGACAAAATATAATTGATTTCTTTTTATTGGTTACAAACGTTTCTTTTTAGATCTTTTGCAACAGGAGATTTTGGTGTTGCAAAAACGCCTTTATGTAATCCGCAGAGGCAGTTTTTAGTTGCCAGAAATGTTATGACAGGTTAGATGGAAACTAGATAATTCAGCGACAGTTTAAGACAGATTTTATCCCCCCGCCCTTGGATTTTCAACACATCAGGAGAAAATGCTACAACTACCTACAATTACATATACACATCACACCCAGACTTGGAACCACAATTTATTCTCACGAGTTGAGAATAAATTTTGAAGTACATTAAACACAAAAATCACAGAACTTGTGAATTAATTTGTTATAACATCACTTATTAGTGTGACTAATTAGTACATCACTAAAACCTCCGTCATTGTCTATGTTATAAATATCATGGTCGACATCCTGTGGACCATTGACAATCTAACTATGGTGCAGTGAGGTGTCCAACGGTTTACTGTGTTAATAAACTGTGTTAATAAAATAACTAAGGTCCAAGTCTTTTATTCATATTCCTCAGTTCACCAAAAGTCTGAATTACCATGTAAACTCACCGGAACTCGAGGTTATCCCTGGCGACTTCGAACTTGCTCTCGTAGTACCTCTCCTTGAACCCTTGCTCCCAGAGCCGCACCTCGTCATTCTTGTCATCGTCATCCTCGTCATCCAGCCCCGCCGCCTGAGCTGATCGCTTGCGGCCACGATTCTCTGATTCTTGCTAAAATCATCATGAAATACGTATTACATTAATTAATTCATTTCGACATTATAAGTCAATGTAACTCCACTATTGTGATAAACCTTTCCCGTATAAGAAGGGGGTTGGCCACAATACCCATGGGAGGGTGGGAGAAGAATTGAGGCTACAGTAACCTCACTGGCACACGGCAATCGCAACACAAGCTTTGTTTGACGCCGCTGTGTGCTGGTGAGCCGTGGTATCACTCCAGGTGAGCCCATTCGTGACGAGGTATTCAATAGAAAAAGTCAAAAATCATTTACAATTAGAACCTTACAGGCACTTTTGAACGTCAAACAAAATTTTAAAGATATAAAGTGTCAGTCTGTCGGTCAGTCCTCTTAGTGAAGCTATTTGCTCGTACCAAAGTGTAAATTAGGGAAGAACAAGCAAGAGAATTGCTTCCGCCCCTTCCAAAACAACACTTTAAAGGTTCAATCCCATATCTACAATAACAAAACGGACCTAATAGGCATTTTAGTGTATTATGTTTAAAAATCAGAATAGAATATATGGATACAACAGGTATTTTTGTTTTTCTTAGAACCTGTAAATATATGAAATACTTACAGCTGCTTCGTTTTGCATGCCAGCGACGCGCATGTTGGCAGCTTCACGTCGTACGTTCTCCAGCGGCTTGTTCTGGTTCTGGTTCTGTCCGACGGCCTGTACGACAAACAGACAATATGTCACTAGGTACCAGGAGTATCAAAATAATTACAATTAAAATTCCCACCGATTTCCAAAACAGCTGGACTTTTTTTGAGGAGGGGGGATTTGCGTGGAACAAGCACAGCGTTGTGTTTCACCGTGTGATTGAGGTTACCGGAGGCCCAATCCCTCCCCCACCCCTATCCCTTCCCGATCCTTGCCGAAAAAGCCGGCAACACACTCGTAACTCCTTTAGTGTTGGTCCATGGGCGGCGCCGATTGCTTGTTTGCCGATTTATTCGACAAAAAAATTTTCATCAATCAAATGGTTTTTCCCTTCCTAGGTAGGCGAGAGGAAGTGTCAGACTCTTACTAACTAAAGACCACCCCTTTTCTTCTCCTGCACTAGGCTCTGGCTTTGGCATACTACTGCGGTTGCACTGGCAACCCCGACCCACATTAGCCCATTAGCCATTAGCCTTGTTGGACCTTATTTACGGTGGTCTATTGGCCTTTTGACGCATAATATCTGGACCTTCAAAGTGTGGGCTTCAAAGAAGACATACCTTGACACAAAATATTTGAAACTCTAATAAAAAAATGGAAAAAATTGTACAATTCTTTTTTGGAATATTTAGGGGACAAACGAGCAGTCCCATCTCATCTGCTGTGGTAAACCTTTAGCACCGCCCATGAAAAGTCTAGAGGCGACGCAAGTGCATTGGCGGCCATTTAAAAATGGTATGCCGTTTCCTTAGAGGTTTGAAGGTTATATCAGTTCAAAAATACTGTAAGGAAGAGTTCAAGTCACAGTTTTGCTTTAGAGATTAAATTAAGCTCACCATAGGCGCAAACTGAGTCTTCTCCAGCATTTCAAAGTTGACGCGTTGCTGTTGTCTCTTCTTCATCTTCTCCCTGGCCTTGAAGCTGATCTCGTTCTGGTGTCGCCGCTTGAAGATCTCGTCCTCCATGTGGCCGAGCTCCGTCATTATGACCTGCACTCGCTCCAGCTTCACGTCACCCGAGTCTGTGATCCAGCCCTGAATAAATACATACGTAAATAGCTTTAGAACTTCCTTGTTTAGGTGATAGGATCGAAAATGTAGTAAAGTTTGGCATCCTTGCATATAGAGAAAATATTTTTTATGAAATACAATTATATTAACTTGTTACTCAATCAAAAAAAGGATCATTAATATGTTAATAATGTCATTATATTAATGAATATATGTATTATATAGTATATTATATTAATGGTAAGTAATACATGTTGTAACAACAAACTAAGTTAAGGCGTCAATGAACTCACTCTAGTCTTATAAACACACTTCTTGTACAAGTTCACGAGTCGGTCTACGGCGCCCTCGCGGATCTCCAAACTGGGTAGATGTGGCAAGAAGTCGTTGCCCACGAAGAAGCACATGAACACCCAGTCATCGAGGGCCCTCTCGAAGTCATAAGGGAACGGGAGGTCTGGCATCTGCAGCTCCCTCTCCAAGTACTCCCGGAGGACGCTCAGCCGGACAAAGATGAAATTGTCCTGGTTTCCGAACGCTGGGTCTGATCTTACTAGAGACGCGTCTGGATTCGTGCCTGTACATTCCTTCATTTCGTGTCCTGGGAATAAAATATGAAAGAGTTAGATTGATACCTTAGATCAAGAAAACAAAGTACTCAGAGGAATTGTCAATGCGCCCTGGTACATTCGAAATGACGAGTGAGGAAAAATCGTCGATGAAACCGAGTAAGGTTACAAGAGGCCGAATCCTTCCCCTTCCCGTACCTCAAAATCTCCAAATCCCTAATTCCCATAGGTCTGCAAAGCACTTATAACTCTTTTGGTGTTGCGGGTGTCTATAGGTGGCGCCGATTGCTGACCATCAGGTAAAGCGTTTGATCGTTTGCCGACCTACATAAAAAGTCCCTATTTATGGTTAAGTTGGAATAAATGTTTTTGACTTTGAAAAAAATTCGTTTACTGACCGAGCTGTCCACAAACGTCGCAGGGGCGAGGCTTGTTGGGTTTGAACTCCTCACGGATTATGGTGAAGTTGGGCTCGTGGGTGGCCAGGCCCAGCATTATCAGGTCCGCGTCAGCTCCGCACAGTACGTGCTGTGTGTTTGGGTCGTGGTCTGGTTGGACTGGAATGAATACAAAAGAGTTAATACCGTCATATGTATAACTGGATAAGCGTATGGTGTACACTCGTGAGGCCGACGCTGCCTTAAATACCAAACTGAAGATGGCGACTCAAACCCAAGGCGTTTATGGGATGAGTTCGTTAAAGCATTCTTTTTGCTGAAATCTTTATGTTTTTCTACAGATTATAGCTGATTTATTTTCTTCCTTCTTTGACATTGCGGCAGCGCCGATGGCATCCCTTCAAGTAATTAATACGATTACTGACGAAAAAGTAAGTTCACTTTGTTGTATAATAGAGTTTTTGATTGATAGTAATCTTAAGAAACATTTAAAATTCCATAGTATATATCAGTACATTGAGTTGGTCTTAGTTCTGCTTACCTCGCTGCCGTCTGATGTAGTCCATGATCTTATGCTCCCCCTCGCCGGGCACGTTAGCATCCGACAGGATTACTTTAATGCCCTTCCATCCTGGATCATTATTTAATCTGAAAAGTTATAATAATATAATATAATTGTGCCCTCTTAGTTTAGTTTTCCTGTATTCGTTTTTTTTTATGGAAATGACAGTGGAATGAGTGGATTACCTGATGGTAAGCAATTGGCGCCACCCATTCAACCCGTACGGGGTTGTCCATAGGCGGCGCCAATAGCCGAAGAAGTCATATGTTTGATAAAGAACATGCCATTGATGACTACCTACAGGGTACCAGGCCTTCCAGGAGTGTATGTTGGCTTTGGGAGCAAGTTTTTTGTGATACATACATATGTGAGCATACGAATTATCTGAGTAATCGGCGCCACCCATTGGACACACAATCTCAAAGGAGTTAACTACTACAAGGGCGTCGCTGGCCTCTTGTTGATTATTACGGAATTAAAAATTGGGAGGGGGAGGATTAAGCCTTATTATTCGGTATTCTGTGAAGCCGTGTATCACTCCTGTCGAGCCCGACCATTCGGGCTTACGGCCCGGCTCTCCCACACTCAGACAAGAGAAAACGAAGAGATTGAAATTTATACTAGACAGCAGCATTCTCTGTTAAACCTGACCCTTTAAAATTCTGAGATTTTGACCAGCTTTTTTCTATAGTCCAGCCTTTTTTAATAGATTTTGTACCCATGTATGATGCGGAAATGAATGAAATCCGTACAAACCTATCATGTATATAATAGTGAAGACATTTGCTTAGTCGGTCCATGAATGGTGTCCCTGGAGTGATGCAGTTGGAATCAAAGTGAGCTTCTTTGGGCCTCTCAGGGGGCAGGTATGCGCCCTTAGCCAGCAACTCGCTGCGGATGCGAGCGATTTCGTCAATCTTTTCCTGAGTCTCCTTGGACGCACGGAAACGACGGGAACGCTGTTGGTTCATTTTTGCTCTAGGTGCCTGAAATTCATATAAATTATGTAGCATTAAACATAAATAATAGGTGATATTATAACTACTGACATTATGTATCGAAATCGGCATTTCTTCTCAGAGTAGTCAGATAGGAAATCCAAGCTTCATTTAGTTTTTTTATATATTAATTTTGACATGTAAAAGTACTGTTTTATGGCCAATTTACAAAAATAAATCCATTGTTTCATTAAAAATATGCACTGTTTCACATTATGCAAAGTACCTATTAAAAATTCTTTAAAGTTTTTGCAATACATCAAAATTAGTATCGCATCAAAGTGGTGACCACTATAAACAAGCAGTTGATCCATGCTTGGCACGCAGGTTGGACATTAGATTTTTAAGATAATGCTTCTGCCTTCTCTATTGAATATATGTATAGGCTCTTAAGCTCTGCTCTTACTTACAAAATCCATGAGATAAGTAAAATTGGCGACATAGCCATTTGATTCAATTATCACCATCCAAAAAAATTTACAGAAAAATGCATACTTTTAAGAGATTTATGTTTAAATAAATGTGTAAACTTACAACTCCATCAATAGCCATGTACAACAGCTTCCTGGGTCGCACAATGCGGAACAGCCTGTCGATGCACTCAAAGATAGCCACCATCATCTCATCCTCATCCTTAGGGGGAGGCTTGTCTTCAGGATGGGTACAAGGATGGATGATACCATTCATGTCCAGGTACAAGTTGTCAAACTCCACCCCATTGGGGTTTGGGAGTGAAGAGTCAATGTAGACAAGTTCGCCATCAACGTCGGTTGGCTGGAAATTGATTACAGCCACATTAAAAACACCTGGTTCATCAAGCTCCTGCTTCTCATGCATGAGTGTACAGGTTATGAGACTTTTTCTCAGTTATAGTTTTTTACTTTCTGAATTTATTTAGATGTGACTGAAATACAGTGATTGTGAGGACACCTAGACTTATAATTTTGAAATATAAGTCTAGGTGTGATATTTTCAAATTCCATCTCATATTCTCATACATTCTCATACCAATAAGAAATTGAAATAAAATTTTTACTAAAAAATTTTCCAATAAACATTCAATTACTAACTGGACTTTCATTTGCTAAATTTATTGTATCAAGAATTGTATTTTTATGATACTACTAGTAGCTTTGAAACATTAGATAAATGTATCCGGGCTAATGCAGAAATATAGAAAGTTGAGAGTAAACCAATAACAGATTCTTTGGAATTAAGAAGAGTTGATAAAGTGTTAGATATTGTCATTTTGATGTCAGGCAAAAAAGGTTTTATTATTTAATGATACAAACGATAATTCTTAGTAACAGCATTAATATTAAAACAGGGACAACTTTCAAACTCGCCAAATGAAGATATTTCACATATTAATTCCACTATCCATTAATAATATTTCATTTTAAATTATTGGATGATGTACCGTAATGAAATGTGTGTAAATAAATATGAGCATTAAATATTTAGAGGGGATGAACTCATTATATGAAGTCAATCAGTAGCCTGCACATAATCTGACAGTGAGTTTTATAAAGAAAATCATTTTCGACAGTCCTAACTTCTAAACCTACGAGGTTCAGGTCATCGAATCAAAACAACATGTTTACTAGTATTTAAGTGGTTCGTACATCGAAACAAAATACACACTGGGATTTAAACATATTTTTTAGGTTATGTCTTACCCTCTGTTCAATACATTCAACAATGACACTGGGGTATTTTCTGCTCAACCAGCGAAAGAATGCTGGTACTCCCATCTTGAGATTTCACTTTAAATTATTGCTCTGGTCTGATTTTACACTTCGTTTATATTTTGTTACGTTACGTATTCAACACAAACAAATCGACGCAGATGCCATTTCTAAATGAAAGGAAAGAGAAAGATAGCTACATGATAAAGAGATGGATGAATTTCGTTCAGTAATTCATAAACCTCATCGCTGTATGAGATATACCTATATAAAATTAATTGATTTGATAGAAAAAGTAACATTTTTATATATTATTTAAAAAATGAGTATTATTTAAGTTTTTTTTATAAAAAACTTGCTGCCCGCCCCTGCTTCTCACTAGTCTAACTATCCTAACAACAAAAGGGTCAGTTTTTCCCAATTTTCCCCTCTACTTTACTATCTAATATTTTGTTTTGATAAGAACCTTCTCCTGACCATCTATGCTAATATTATAAAGAGGTAAAATTTGTATGTAGGGAGTAATCTTTGGAACCGTTGATGGGATTTCCAAAATTCTTTCACTGATAGATAGCTACAATTTTCCTGGGTGCTATAGGACATAAAACTTCACGCTACGAGTAAATGGAGCCGAGCGGTGAAACCGCACGAGAGTAGCTAGTAATAAATAGAACAAAAAAAGAATTAACAAGGTGTTGTTGAGTTACCTATGCGCTTACCAACACATATTGCGATTCATTTTTATATTACGGATTATCAATTGATGTAAAAATAAACGAATTATGAATTTTACAATTATTTTTGGTATCAAACCATTAAATTAATAATCATAACAACTCGTTTTGCCATAAGTTTTAATGGAGCCCGAATAACAATAAAAGATCCATATCAATTTGAAAAAAAATACGTTTGGAAATTAATTTTGTCAATTGTCAAAATTTACTGTCAAGTGATCAAGTCTGTCAAATGAAAAATTATATCAAATTTTCGATGTGACCTTATCAGTCAGCTGGTGTGTCTAATTGAGTAAGCATGGAATTGCTATAGGGATTATTGATTAGAAAATAAAAAAAATCTTCAACATGAATCGTTATCGGCGAGTTTTTAGAGTCTCGTGGCTAAGGAGATGTTTCTCAACCAACGGAGATAAAAATATAGAAAACATTCGTAACATTGGTATCTTGGCTCACATAGATGCAGGTTAGTATCGGTAAAATATTAATTATGAAGCATAAGAAACGAATAAATTTATTTAAAGAGACTCCTACTAAAATTAGATTATTTTATTTCGGAGAAAAATAATTAATTTCATTCATTAATTTTGTAATTTCAATTATGTATTGCAGAAAACTAAGTTTGTTTTTTTTTTAATTTTAGGGAAGACTACGACTACGGAGAGGATGCTATTCTTCTCCGGGACTATAAGAGCCATGGGGGAAGTGCACCATGGCAATACTGTAACGGATTATATGGAACAGGAGCGGCAACGGGGAATCACTATTACATGTATGTGTAACCAAGCAATATATTACATAATAAATTAATTTATTATTTATTTTGTTTTTGCTTAGTACTGTTATAAAAACATTTAATTTAGTATCATATGCAGCTTATGATAAATCCCAAAGTATTTTTTTTAATTTATTAAACAGGAAAGGCTTTGCTGAGTTAACTCTTCTAATTTTTAATATTTGTCCTCCAGCTGCGGCAGTGTCATTCCCTTGGCGTGGCAGTCAGATCAACCTCATAGATACTCCAGGCCACATTGACTTTACCATGGAGGTAGAGCAGAGTCTCGCTGTGCTGGATGGAGCTGTTGTTGTGTTGGATGCTTCTGCTGGTCAGTTGAGCGTGATGTGTTATTATTCTAATACATTTGGGCAAATATTTTGACTAAATAAGTTACGAAAGTCTCTTTCTACTCTTTCTAGTACCTAACTGGCATTTTTTTTTTGTATATCTGTTGTATACTTTTGATTTAAAATATTTTAAATGTTCTTATGCAGTAGAATCGCAGAAAGTTCAGTGAATTCCCTCTCATCAGAAGAACTAAACAATTGAACAGAACCCAAACAAAGAATCATCTTTTTTTGAATAGTACTTATCTTGGGACATGCAATATTATTGATAATAATGACTTACTCACTTGTATGAATTTGGAAAAGCTCTACAAATTTCAAGTCACAATGGGACTCTTTATTTATGAGCAGCATGCGCGTCAAAACGATAGTTGTTTACATATAATGTCACCTTTCAACCAAGACCTTTTCCCAGTTCATTCACATGAGTAATTCGTTATTTAAAATAAATAAAGATGCATATTTTCCAATACCTTTCCGTTTCTTACATTAGGTGTGGAAGCTCAAACCCTGACAGTATGGAAGCAAGCCAGCGGCTACAGAGTGCCTCGGATCCTGTACCTGAACAAGATGGACCGAGGTGACGCCAGTGCTGAGGAGTGTGCGCGCTCTGTGAAAGAGAAGTTGCACGCCCAGCCCCTGCTGCTGCATACTGATGTCAGGCTGGAAGGTCGACTTATAGGTATGTTTTTTTTTCGTCAAACGAGCATACAGATTTCCTTATGGTAAGCAATCAGCGCTGCCCCTCGACACCCGCAACAACAGAGTATATATATTTAGGAATGCGTTGCCGACCTATTGGGGATTATTTTGAGATACTTCAACTGTCAAACTTAATGTTCGGGCCAGAACGCCATGTCGGACAATGGTGCCTGACGCTAGCGGCGTTTATTAAACACTGTGATGGAAAACCTTTGCTGAGTTAACTCTTGCTGAGCTAGAGCGGCGGAGGGTTAGCCTTAGACAGTTTTTGTCGGCAGTCTGCTGCAAATGCTTAAACTTTTATAGCTTAGTGAGCTTATTAAATCTAGGTAAACTTGTTCTGTCCTCTCCAGGTCTGATAGATCTGATAACCTTGGAAGAGGTGATATGGACGCAGGGTCGAGGGCAGACGCTGGTGCGACGCAAGCTGACGGAGAAGGCAGACGGCCACAAATGGGAGGCCGCCATGTCCGAGCACAAGGAACTGGTGGACACACTCTCCAGCTTAGATGACCAGCTTGCTGAGACTATTATACAGCAGGTTCGGTTAAGCATTTTAAATAGTTTTGACTTGATTAATCAAATTGTATAACGAATAGACATATGAACCTTTTTTTTGTGAGGGGAAATTCATCAAATGTCTTCTCCCGCCCAGGGCCGGGCGGGAGGGAGTGTCAGACTCTTCCGACTAAACACCCCCCCTGTTCCTTCTCCTGGTGCCTCATTGCGCTTACCCCGCAACCCCGGCTGAACATCAGCCCTATAGGGCCCCGTCTGCGGTGGTCTATTGGCTCTTTGAGGCGCGCGCGGATCGCTACGCCACAGTATAAATATCATACAGTATTGTAACTCGGCCGCTTGAAAGAAATAAATACCTACAGCCGCGCGGTACGTAAACATGCGTTAGGGCTGCTCGTCTCCAGTATTTTAATTACCTTTGTCTACTTTACTAAAAATAAACAAACAAAATGTCTTTGGCCACTAATGCCGAACTGAACAGCTGGTTACGAATGTTCTAAAATCACAACCCTCAAACCTCAAAATATTACATGAGTCTAGCTGTTTTATTGTTGCTATTAAATATTTTCTAGTATTATTCATAAACGCAGATAATAAAGAAATATTATTAATAATAAAATACCACACTCTCTACTTTGAATTATACAAACTAACAAAACATACATGAACCGTTTTAACACAAGCGTAAGTAGGTAGGTACCTAACGTATCATGATTCATTCAGAACCAGAACCGCCTATAACTACCTATTTCACTCGTCTCAATAACTTTATTCATATTATTTATAAATTCAAACATCTGTTTTCGTGAGATAACTGGAAATAATGATCCATAAAGACACACATTATGTATCTACCTAGGCTACTAGTAAGTAAAATTATTTTATAGTCTTACCTTTCAGAGTTTCCAGGTAATTTAAAAAAAACTTATGTCTGGATGCGTTATTGACAAATTCATGCAACCAAACATAATAACAGCACAATATTTCCTATTCGTCATATTAAATAATGTACTCGAGCTGATTTCTAAATAAATGACAACACACCGTCCGTTCGTCACTGCGGTACAGCCGCGTCTGTCTGCGTCCCGAGCGCGTCCCGACATCGGGCGCGTAGGTATAGTTCGCGTTTCGGCCGTTTCTATGAAGTTGAAATACTTGTAGATATTATTACCTTGGCTACGCGCCGTACGCTCGGGTCTGGTTCTGGTCGGGCGGCGAGCTGCCCTTACTCGCCGACCGCAGACCCGCGCTTACGGTGGCCGGAGATCATCTCTCGAAACATATGAACCTAATGGAGTAATTTTCTGTCTCTTCGTCTCTTCCCCATTGGTGAAATGTCGTTCCACCAATTAATCTCCCGTAAAATTTTTCATATTTTTTCTAACACGTTTGCAAAAGAACCCCGCATTGGGTTCTTTTGCAAACGTGTTAGTTTCATTGACGACTAGAAATCATAATTGCCGAGAGTTCTAAATGCAAATAATTTGTAAAAGAATATTTTTAAATTTTTGGTATGTAATTTTTTGTTCAATCAGAAAACAAAATGATATTTGACGAGAAACTTACTTTCATATTCTTCAAGTATCAGAGATATTCTTGAGTTCCTGTCCCCCATTTAATCATCACACGATTAAGGACGCCACCTAAATTGCTAAAAGATCTATTAAAACTTGAATGTCATGTAAGTAAGCCATGTAAAACAATGAAATAAGTACTTATGAAATCTGATTAGAAATAAGCATTTTAATATCGCCAAACAACGTTTACGCCATAAAATGTAAACATGACTACTTACTTGTATTAATTACTAGCTAGTCTCGCGCGGTTCCACCCGCAGTTCGATGTTTTATAGCCTATAGCCTTTTTCGATTAATGGACTAACAAACATAAAAAGAATGGTTCAATTCGAATCAGTAGATCTGGAGTTTAGTGCGTTCAAACAAACAGACAAACTCTACAGCTTATTAATATTAGTTTCGGTTATTTTTCTTTCTTCTTTTCCAAACAGGAAACCTTAGAAATCAACAGCAAGGAGATAGAAGAAGCTATAAGAAGGTGTACCCTCTCAATGAAAGGCTTCCCCATCCTCTGCGGCAGTTCCTACAAGAACATAGGAGTCCAGACCTTGATGGACGGCATCATCTCCTACCTTCCAAGTCCTAATGAAGGTCACAAGCTGTACCGGAGCTTCGGAACTGATCTGGCTGCCCGAGCGTTCAAGGTACAGCATGATGATCAGCGAGGAGTGCTCACCTTCCTCCGCCTTTATAGCGGAGAGATCAGCAAGGGACAGAAGATTTATAATCTGGCCCGGGATAAAAATGAGCAGGTAATTTTATGTTATTTCTTGGTGAATATTACTATTGGTCTTGTTTTTTTTATTGTGAGGGGAAAATCATCAAATGACTTCTCCAGCCCGGGGCCGGGCGGGAGGAAGTGTCAGACTCTTACTGACTAAAAACCCCCCCGTTCCTTCTCCTGCTCTGGGCCGAGGTCGCAGTGTCTCATTGCGCTTACACCGCAACCCTGTTGGAGTGGTGTTTTTGGGTATTAGTGCTTTTAGAGTTATTGGACACATCATGATTCACTGACGAACAGACTGATAGACTATTACCTATTATATTTTGGCGTTTTAAAAGAACCTGTTTATGGTTTAGTCGGAATAAATTATTTTAAATTTTTGACCTGTTGATGTGTTGGCTGATCTACCGGTTACCGAGTAACGTACTGCGTTTGGTTCCTCCGCAGAGGACGTTCGCTTGGGGTTTGGTGAATTGAAATTCTGTTAATTCTATCCAGGCGGGGGCGCTGTACGTGGCTCTTGCAGACGAATACCGGCCAGTAGAGAAGGTGACGGCGGGGAACATTGCTGTTGTCAGCTCACTCAAGGTATATCTCTAGATTCGTGTTTCGCTAAACTACACTAACCTTTAGTTCCTTGTAATATGGCCCAATGTCGGTAATATCGAAATGGCACCAATATGTGATGGCCCGGAGGTTAAGGCATCCACTTCTCAAAACGTGGCAAGTACTGCTGCGATTCTTTTCGAGTTATGTACTTTTAATTTTATTTAGACAGCACTGACAAACAGTGAATGAAAACACCATGAGGAAAACATTTTTTTTATGTTAAAGGACAGGAGACGTGGTCATTAATGTTCAAACCTTCTCCGTATGAGAAGAGGCCTTTACTCAGCAGTGGGCACTCATAGGCTGATGTTGTGATGTGAATACGGCTGTAACTAACTACACACTTCTAAAGTACCATTTCAAGGGAGATAAAATATAATAGGGATTCCCCAGGCTACGATGACGGGGGACCTCGTAACATCAACACAAGCTGCTGCCTCCCGGGCCCAGACCCAGCTGTCCCAGCAGCTGCAGGAGGCCGGCGACCAGCTCCAGGACCTGGTGCTGCCCAGCGCGCGACAGAAGCTCCAGCTCATGGACACACAGCCCTCTAATGATGAACTTGCTGAACTGTTACTGGGAATCGGTAAGGGTCTTTATGATGCTGGTTCCAGAATGTTTCTTTAGCTTGGTATGGTGGTAAAAGGTCTTAAAAGATTTCACTTCCGCTCTCAAGTAGCTCCTTCCCAAATTGGGAGGGGGTGACAAACCTTGAGGTGGTTTTTGAATTGTAAGTGTGGTGGGACATACTAAATTTATTGGGGAGGTTGTATATGGGATCATGGGATCCACGGCCTTCTATGGAGCAGAGCTTAAGTGTGGGCGCCAAATTCGAAACGGTGACCTGCGAGCACAGTCACCTATGTTTATCATAAATTAAAATAATAATTGTACTCTTCTTTACTACTCAGCTATTTAAAATATAATTTGTAATTTCCACAATATACTCATTTAGTTTATTTGCTTGTTTGTAGGAGCAGTTGACCAAAGTTCTTTTCTAGAGTCTGACTTTTCCGAACGGTATAACCTGGATGTCTTCAATGCCCGAGTGAATAGTTTGCTTGTGGGTAGGCTGCTCCATCGTAGGTCGCATCATCGCTTACCACCAGCCGAGAAAGTGGCCAAACGACCACCCATTTATGAAGAAACTAGCTAATGTCTCGCAGTTTCACCCGCTGCTTGGCTCCTACATATCGTAGCGTCATGTTTTATAGCCTTCCTCGGTAAATGGACTAACAAACAAAAAGAATGGTTCAATTCGAACCAGCAGTTTAGGAGATTAGCTCGTCAAAAAAACAAACTCTACAGCTTTATAATGTTTATTATATTATTATATGATTATGAAGAAATAAGCAAATAAACATCAATCTTACTGTGTAGTAAGCCGAGCTTCGAATCCTAGGTACGTCAGTCCCGGAGCCAGTGTTCCTGTGCTCCATCGAGCCGCCCAGCGTGGCGCACCAGTCGGCGCTGGACGTGGCGCTGCAGCAGCTGCAGCGGGAGGACCCCAGTCTGCGCGTACACACCGACCCCGACAGTGGCCAGACTGTACTCGCAGGTACGTGTTGAGTTCCAAGCGCGCATCAAACACCCAATAGACCACCACAGACGGGGCCATATAACGGTGATGTTGCAAATGCAAAAGCAATGTAGCACCGCGGCCTCGGCCTAGAGATGGAGAAGGAACGGGGAGGGGGGGGGGGGGGGGGGGGTTCCTAGAGCGTTTAAAGTTATAGGCTGTCAAGGATTCAGAAAAGTTTAGGCTTTCGAAAGTATATGACCACTGAAGTTCAAGCCTTCCACGATGCATCATATACCCAATGCAAGTATGATAGACGGATTTGTATGAAGAGTATCTGACCAGCCCCCCTATGCAAGTCACAAACGCAAACTCTCAACTTCAACTTTAATAGATTTTCAACTTTAAGCTCTTAGGTAAAAAGTTAAAATCCATGGAAGATTACTACCTAAGCGTTTTGGAGATCATAAAAATTCTGTAAACAGCAAAATAACCTCTCTTTTTGCCACTGACCAGGTATGGGAGAACTCCACTTAGAAATAATAAAGGAACGCATTATTCGCGAGTACAAGATCGAGGTAGAACTGGGTCCCCTGCAGATAGCATACAGGGAAACCCTGCAGGGCTCCGCGCGCCACACCCTGGCCGTGGACCGCAAGATAGGGGGCTCCCGGCAGACCTGTAAGGTCACAATGTCCGCTAAACCTGTGAAGGGTATCGCGGCTGAGAAGATTTTGAAGTAAGTCTTCATTTATTTTATTTAAAGTTTAGGCCTTTGACTGCCGTCAGAAAACTGTTGAAGGCAAATCCTCCGCTAACGGAGGTCACCGGTGGCGCTTAACGTGTTAAAGTGTGGGAGAGCCCAGCTTCGGCACGAATGGGTCGGCTTGACCGGAGTTATACCACGGCCTAACAGAAAACCGGCGTGAAACAACCACAGCGTTGTGTTTCACCGTGTGAGTGACGTTACCGGAGGCCCGATCACCCCTCTTCCACCATCCCTTCCCAATCCTTAAATAACTAAAGCCCTTATCCCTAAAAGCCGGCAACCGGTAACTCCTTTGGTAACATCAGGTAATACGTGCGTTAGTTTGCCGACCTATTACAATTTTTTTTTCACAGTCTATGAACAATGGCAGACTTAACGCCTTATGCGTTCTCTACCAGTCTACCTTTCGGTGGTGGAGAAATAAAAGATTTTACAATTTTAAAATTTATTAAAAATAATGACAACAGTTTTTGGCTGCGAACGCTGCTCATAAGTAGACTTGATACAAGTTTTTCTCAGTTAGTTCACATGATTATTTTAAATGTTATGTTTCACTATATTTGTGTTCCGCCGTTTGAATGAGGTTCTCCCCCTTCCATCCCCGATCCCCAAATGTCCAAAACCCCTTATGCTAACAATGCATATTTTGTTTTTATTTTTAACACGGGAATGATAATCTTGGCATTTCTATGAATTATGGTGTAAATAATAACATCTAACAAAATGTAGAAATGGCATTATGAAAGTGGTTAAAGATATTTTCACACAGTTTTTTTCATTTTCATTATTCTTTTTTCCCCCCAGACTGGACAAGAGCGGTGACAGCGCGGCCAATCTGTCCCACTTACACCCGCGACACATGCAGGCCATCAGGCAGGGGGTCAGCACAGCTCTCATGCACGGAGCCAAGCTCGGGTGCCCTGTGAGTACACTAAGTATTATTGTGTTGTACGAGTCATAGTACAAATTTTATTATTGTAACTAATTGTGCCTGTGTACGCCTTATATATTGATCACATCGTGACTTACACACTTACACTAAGAACATTATATTTACGCGGGTATTAACGCGGAAAATTATAATTTGAATACCTTGGTAGGCTTGACGTTTCGACCCGGTTGCACAGGTCGTGGTCACAAGCAGACTGAAGACGCGATGTCACAGCTCCCTGCATTCGGGTGATGAATCTTCATCTACCCCCTTATTTTCATTTTCTACCATATTAGGCCGTCTACACACTACGCTGATTATATCCACAGATGTGTTAACCGACTTTGAAGGAAAGCGAGGTTGTGTTTTGCGAAGCACTGGATTCCACGTCGACGACAATTTAAAGCCGTCCTCCCGATTGAAATTATTTGGGCATTTCTTTATTTCAACCGCTTCACGCACAAGTCTTGTATGGTAGTGGCGATCAGTGGAGAGAATTTGCGGTCGGTGGAATTCTACCCAGTGATTAGAACCAGCCTGGAGCAGGTGTTCTGCTATCGCTGATTTGTTGCTCTGTCGGTTTTTGACTGCGGCGATATGTTCTTTGAGCCTCTCAGCAATGGTCCGCTTCGTTTGCCCAATGTAGGAACTACCGCAGCTGCAGTTGATCTTATAAACACCTGGGCTTTGTAGCGGCAGTACATCCTTCGCCGTGCCTACCTTATCATGTAGTTTAGCCTCAGGTGTGTAGATCGTCGGGATCGAAAACTTTTTAAGGACGGATCCTATCTTGTCTGTCACACCCTTGATATAAGGCATGAAGGCAGGTTGTCTGCTCACGTTTGGATGTCTGGCTCTCTTCAGCGGTCGCAATAGTCGCCCATCCCCTACACTATATCCGTTCTTTTTAAGTACCTCCTGAACATGGTCTAGCTCTTGCCCCAGATGTTCAGGGTCACAGAGGTCATATGCTCTGTTTTTTAGTGATATCATCACGGATTGTAAGTGTCGGGGGTGGTGATGTGACTTTGCATGTAGGTACCGATCAGTGTGAGTTGGCTTTCGGTATACACAGTGCGATAAGGACCCATCTGATCTCGCGGTTATTTTAATGTCCAAGAATGACAACGACCTGCCCGTCTCCAGCTCATAAGTGAAACGCATTTTTGGGTGGATGCTGTTTAGGTGATTTACATATTGACGTACTTCTTGTTCACCTCCCTTGATAATGCTGAAAATGTCATCCACATACCTTTTCCAAAGCCTGATGGTATTTGGGCCGAGGCTCAATGCCTGTTTTTCAAAGTGTTCCATCCAAAGATTAGCTAACACAGGGGCCACTGGACTTCCCATGGCTACGCCATCGATTTGAAGGTAATGTTGGCCTTGAAAAAGGAAGTAATTTCCATCCAGGCAGTGTTTCAGCAAATCAATATAGTTGTGGGGCATGTCATTGTCACCAAGTACATCTTTGACAACATCCAGACACTCCTTAATTGGCACATTGGTAAATAACGACTCAACGTCAAAGCTCACCATGAGTTCATCAGGTTCCAACTTCAGGCTCTTTACAATCTGGATGAAGTCGCGCGAGTCCTTTACAAAAGAAGATGTTTTTCCTACCAATGGTTGTAGTACTGACGCAACGTGCTTTGCAAGATCATAAGTCGGTGAGGCAATTTGGCTTACAATAGGCCGCAATGGCACGTTGGACTTATGTATTTTAGGTAGGCCATACAGTCGAGGCGGTTGATGTGCCTTAGGTTTATATAGCCTTTCGTACTCATCTTCTGTAAATAGGTCCTTATGTTCTTGAATTAGAGCTCGTATTTTCCGTGTTACTCGGGCCGTAGGGTTATATGAGACCGGCTTGTAAACTTTGTCATCACTCAGTAACTCCCGTATTTTATTGTGGTAATCAGACGTATTAATCACTACAGTGGCGTTTCCCTTGTCGGCCTTAAGCACTAAAATATCCGGATTATCCCTTATAGTTCTTAGTGCGTGACGCTCTTCTGTAGTGACGTTGCTAGCCGGAGGCTTCGATATTACTAATTACTTTTTCATACGGGATTCGCGTAGGTGTCAGTGCAAAATTCATACCTTTGGCCAATATTTTTGTGGTAGGTTCGTCGAGACTCGTATTACACACTTACACTATTCGTTACTTTGTAGACTCTTGTACATAACATAATTATATACAGGGTGTCCGGCAAAGAATGGATAACCTTGCAATACCTTTAATTATATCTTATGGCCATTCAAAAAATATACAAATAAAATACGAAAAAATATTTTTTTATAAAAACTTGCAAATTAATTTCTTATAGACACATCGTGCAAAATTTGTTTTTAAAGCCATGTTTAATCATCGTCGTTATACAGTAATGTAATGAACATAAATGTTAAAGGATCATTTTGTATTACCTCTTTCTTCTCCAGTTCTTTTACTTCAAGACATAATAATTTAGGTACTACCTATGATAACTATATAGTACTACCTACTACCTATGATAACTATGATACTTTTCTTTTCGTTGTTTTTCCTGAATGGCCAAAGGATATACTAAAAGGCATTTCAAGGTTATCCATTCTTTACCGGACACCCTGTATATATATTTTAGTGTGAATAAATCACTCAATTGTGTCGGTAGCGTTTACATTTTCATTGTTCCCTACAAACACATAGGGATCACACCGCTACCACACGCCAATCACACACAGCTATGCTAAGCTAAGCCATAGCTTGGTACATAAAATGTACCAACCTATAGCATGGTACATTTTATGCTGGGCGATGACACTTCGAAAAAATTCGTTATATTTAAATATTTTTCTTAATACAGCAAAAAAAACCTAAATATTAGGTATTTTTTTCTTTTTCTAACCGAGTTTCTGTTTCTAAGTTTTTACTTGCCCTGTTATCATCCCTAGGGATAGTAATAACTACTAATTAGTCCTATTTCTAGTACTACAACGTATGTCCTCCAGGTAGTGGACGTGCAAGTGACTCTGCACTGGTTCGAGCTCGGGCGAGGCACGTCCGACTCTGTTATCACTGCCACCGTCGCGCAGTGCCTTCGGAAGGTGAGAACATTCAAAATTGGCAAATAATTGCTGCTACAACTGGATGCCGCGTAATATGTTGCGAGGTCGATTCCCGCATGGAACAACTCTCTGTGGATTCACAAAATGTTTTCCCAAATGTTTGTAAACGCACCCACGACACAGGAGAAAATCCTAGTGTGGGGCAAAGTTTAAGAAAAAGAAAGAAAAAAAGAATTTTGAGATGTTAGATACCTACATTGCAAATAATTATATTGTCCAACTATAACTTATATTGTCCAGCTATTCCAATGCGCGCGCATCGGCAAAAAATTGGTTACCTTTTTTTGGGCTTTTACGCGGATAGCATTTTAGCGCAAGTGTAAGCGTTAACCAACCAATAATAAAAAAAAACTATTACTCACTCGCGAATAATAGTAGTGAAAAAGTCACACTTTGATTATAGGTGTTATTATGAGCCTAATTGCCGTGGGATTAGAGCCACTTTATGAGGAAATGTGTTTAAAAATACTCAATATACCAACCAGGTATTCGAGGAAGCTGACCCATTACTCCTGGAGCCGCTGATGTACCTGGAGGTGGTGTGCCCAGAGAGCCACTCCGCCAGGGTACTGGCTGACTTGGCGCGTCGGCGCACGCAGATACAGCATATACACGTCCGACACCAGAATAAGGTCAGTTTTGATCCAGTTATATCTTCAACGAACAATGACCAGATTTGGTCGTGGTGACTGTCGTTCGCCCATTGTATTTTTTTAGTTAATAGTACAGTGTAATAGGCCACCACATACCCTATAGGGCTGGTAAGCGCAATGAGGCACCGCGGCCTCGGCCAAGAGCGAGAGAAGGAATGGAGGGGTTATTAGTCAGTCTGACACAACCGCCTCGCCTCACCCTGGCCGGGAGAAGGCATATGATGATTTTCACCTGACAAAAAAAAGTTCTACATACGCCCGGTTCCTATAATTGAGAAACGATCCGTTTTAATTACGAATAGTAGTTTTATATACGACTCGTAAGCTAAAACCGTTTCTATAATAAACGTCTCGTTGTGCAACTTACTGACGGTTTGCAACTAACGGATATCGGTAAGCGAATTGTATGGAGATCTATGGTGTCTGTGGTGTTCCTATAAATATTTTAACCGTCAGTAGACGGTCAAGATAACTATTCGTAATGTCATTTGGTCGTAATGTCATACAACGACGATTCGTTAAATATAGGAACCGGGCATTAATACTAGTGGAACTTCACAAAGTTTAAATATAAACATAACTTTTGCAAAAATGGCTCAGAACATTTCTCATTTGGCATTTCAACACAAATTCCTTCTCTTATTCTTCACTTTTCATCAACTAGACATGATTAATTATAGGTATATATGATGGCAATAACCGTTATAATATGGCCACTGTTCCTGCCGGGAATCATACTTAAGGACCCAACTACCTTCAAAACTGTTTATACGCTACGAAATCTGTAGAAAGAGCAATGTATTGACGTAAGACAGGCATCAGCAGTAACAGTTATGCATAGTACAATTGATAAATTCATATCATAACCCACTTACGTAACCTTAAACAAATAGAAATACCCCCGGTTTCCGAAAGGCCGATCAATGTTAAAATCAATTTAATCTCTTGTCAAGTCCTCTGATTGGTTAACTGAATTATCAACAACCAATCAGATGACTTGACAAGAGATTTAACAGGAGATTAGTTAATTTTAGCGTTGACAAGCCTTTCAGAAACCGGGTGTTAGACCATCAAAATAACAAGGACGGTATGATATAATTAAAATATGACAATTACACTGACGTAATCAAGTCGTTTTTGCAAGCCGTCTTATATCCGAGGTCTAAGCTATGTGTAGTATTCGCTAATAAATTATTACAACTAAATAATAATTTTGTCCAGGTGGTCGAGTGCTTGGCACCACTTTCGGAACTGCTGGGCTACTCCACCAGCCTGCGATCCCTCAGCTCCGGACTGGCCACCTTCACCATGGAATTCCACTCCCACAGTCAAATGTCGCCAATCGACGAGGAGAAAGCTATCAGAGCCATCACAGGGTTTTAAACCACTTGTGAGACAAAGTCTATACTTTTAGACTATCCTGGATTAAGACAAATCTTAATATAATAACAAGGAAGATATTAAAACTATTTTAGCTATTTATTGGTAGATGGTTGTAACCCAACCAGAAATCTGGCTAAAACAGGCAAGGTAAGGAAAATGAAACACAGATGGCGCTACAGTCGGTTAAAGGAATCGTTAAAGGAATATTTGATTTTTGATTAATGTTTAGGTACAATAGTAGTAGGTAATATTAAAAACGTTAAGAAGAAATATGAACACTGTCTGTAAACTGTTTGATTTCTATCCTTAATTAAAAAAATAGTTTTTAATGGTAACACCCTAATTATGTGGTTCTCACTATAGGAGTACATCTGCAAAAATCTTCGGGAGTTTAAAAGGGTAACACTACTTAACATACGAAGGGACAAGAAAAAAAATAAACCGTTTTGTCTTCGATGATCACTTTCCCTTAAAATATAGATTTACCATTTTACGCTTGTTATGGAGTCTTGGCGTTAACATGATACGACCCCTGTGGGGTCTTAGATAGGAATATATTTGTTGAAAAATAAATAAATAAATAAAGATTGGACGATTGATAAAGCCGAATAACTTGGACGAATGTTCTGAAAGTTTTTTAAACTTTCGTAATGGATTTGTTGTTGTCAGGTATTATTTTTGTGTACCTAGTGAATAATCGTATCATATTAAAATGGTCTTTTAAATTCTAATCAACCATTTCATGACTTGTTTGTAAATGCTAAATTTGTAAAAACTCGGAAGGCTAGTGCGATGGTATAGTAATAATTAATATTATAGATAGAATGACTATACCAAAGACTTGATTATTGAAACGAGTACCTACACTATCCATGTAATTTTGTATCAAACAAAAGTTCAGAATTTGGTCTTTATTATTTTGTTGAATGCAAAAAACTACAAAATATTATTAAGTTTCAAATCGAATCATGTTTCAAATTTGTCGATAGTACATTCGTTGTAAAAAAGTGTAAATAAAACTACGTGAGATAGTAATAATGTTGTTTTATTTATTTACAGTGATTAGGTGTTTTAAGGATAAAAGTGCCGCGATTACTTATTTTCCTAATAAATAAACTTCACCGAAAGTACTGGTTTGTTCATGACAGAACAATCCATATACTTATTTCTTCTATTGCACTGGAGCCTGGAAGAGAAATTAAGTTTTGCTTTAGATAAGTGAAAATGGGATCAATATTTCTAAATAGGATATTATTAGTTATAGGTAGTATATTATTAGTTCATGGTCGATTATACCCAATGTCCACTACTTGTCTGGCCGCCACCACTGGGGGACAGCGAGACAACTTTGTAAATTATTTCCGTTCGCCACCGTAGGTATAGGTAGTTAGAGATAACAAAAGACTGTCCATTCATGGACACTCGAAAAACCAAAGATTACGCTGTCGTCCGTTTGTGGATGGTTACGGATTTGATTGTGTAGTGGATTGAGTTTGTGTGGGAGAAGGTTGGGCCTTTTGTGACCTCACTCTCACGCGAAACAACTTAAGTGTTGCTTCACGCTGGTTCTGTAAGTCCGTGGTATCATTCTGGTCGAGCTGGCCATTCCTGCCCCATCCTCTATACTCAAATATTCTATCCTTAAAGCAACGTACCTTGTAGTAACTCCTTTGGTATAACGAGTGTCAATGGGCGGCGCTGATTGCTTACCATCACGTAATCCGTTTGATCGTTTGGCGACCTATATGACATAGAAAATGTACCCTGTAATTTAGAATAGATATCTTGACTGCACGGTTGGCGCGGTGGCTGGGCAACTGGCTGCCGCGCAACGTGTCGCGGGTTCGATTCGTGTGATCCACAGATGTTGTTCCGGGTCTGGGTGTGATGTGCATGTGCGATTGTATGTTTGTAAACGTACCCACGACACTGGAGAAAATCCTAATGTGGGGCAAAGTTTAAAAAAAAAATGAATAATAAAAAAAAAGTAGATTAGCTCACCCGGAACAAGTTCTCAAGTTCGTCGATGAGAGTCTCGTGTCTAAAGGAGATGCGCACGTCGGGTACGTTGGTGTGCGTAATGTCGTTACCATCTGGACCATCCTGCAGGTACTCGTCGCCCAGCCAGTGCTGCTTCAGCTGTTTATCAAAACTTTCAACATTAGTAAAAATATTGAAGGGAGTAAATTGTACCTAATTATTTCCAGTTCTAGTGGAACAAGATTGGTGGGATTGACGTAAAAACTTCTCGTAAAAATTCTTTGCTTCATGAAAGTAAATTGTCTTGTGAACGTCCCATCTGCATAAATGCTGCTGCCTTTCTCTTTGACACCGTGACTTGCACTATTTGTGTAAATGCACCAGTAAAAGAACTCTTAAATTACCCACAACGGGAGTAATTGGGAGGAGATGTCACTCACAAGACGGGAGCTGCTTATAGGCAAACAAATCTACGACAGAACTTAAAACGGCACACCGGCGTATCATTCGAAGCGTAGTCCAACTCAATCGTTTACCCCGAGATGATAATAACGATGATTTCAAAATTGAAACTAATTCTGCATGTGTGATCCTCCAAGAACAAACCTCGTGCGGGAACCCGGACATGATGACAGAGTTCCTAGCAAGTTCGCACATGTCACACGAGCTTAACTTCCACGCCTGGGCGGCGATGCTGTACTCCTCCATCAGCGGCTCCTGGAACCAATATCCAACAAATGTGAAATAATCATTTTGATTGAACTTAAAGACAAATTTCAAAATGTTAGACGTGTTGATAGTAGGAACGGAAGGAGGCTCTAGACCAAATTATAATCTGGCATACTTCTGCTACACAAAAATGGCAATTATCGTACTTTGTCCAATATGTTAAAAGCCAGAAAAATCTTGCTCTATATTTTAAAAAATCATTTTACCTTCCATATTACCTGGAATGGCAAAGCTCGCAATAGCGGGATTAGTGCAGAGCAAAGGAACTCGAAAACAGGAAACATCAATCAGGCTATTGACAAAGCATACGCGTTGAATACACAAACAATAATGTGCTTCGCCGACTTTAGCAAGGCATTCGACTGTGTCAACCTGATTGCTTATAGATAGTTGTATAAGACTTGGGGATGCAAAATCTTCTCATCGCTCTACTTCAAACTACCTTTATTGCTCAAAACAGGGAGTCGCAAGAGTCGGTAGATTTCTACGCCCTTTGAATTTTACCAAAGTTTTCCCCAAGGTTGCATTTTGTCGCCCATTCTGTTTGATGCCTTTAGAGCACGGAGTAAGAACAAAGAGGAGACGGCCTAAACAACTCGGCCCTGTGACACAAGTCGGCCCTCACGTCATCAAGGTGGGCGTGGCTTACGTCAGTGTAATGTGGTCGTTCGTACTGTGCACAACTCCGATAAAGTATTCATTTTACTCGTGACAGAAGAAAACAAAATGAAGTATTTTATTTTATCTTATAAAAACTACTATGATAATCGTTACGGTACTATTGATGGCATCACTTCTCATGTGGAACTTATTTTATTCGAAATTTATTAAAATAGTTCTAGCAAAGCCTCATAATGTCAGCGTTTCCAATTATCAATCTACGCGACACTAGATGGCGACACTTTGTATCATAGAAACTAAATTGTTATAGGTACGCATAGTTCAGTATTAATATATTTTAATGATTGTTTGTACAGTAATTTGCTCGACATACATTCCTAAAGATCCTTCAATCTCCAAAATATTATTTTTGTAACGTTTATATCATTTTACAAATAGCCAGCCATCTATTGTCAAGTAGTAAAACAAACATAAAGACATTATTGTTCCAAAATATTGTTGAGTTATTGTTTTGTTTTTATATTTTCCAAAATATTGTTGTGTTGTTGAGTGAAGGTTTAATTCCGAGCAAGGGGACCAAACATAGGCCGGCGAACGCATGATGCAAATCAAGTGGCAATATTAAGACAATTGCTGCTACATTATTAGAAGGTGGTAGAACCGTACAATCTGCATTAACATTGCCATTAAATGTACAGGTGATTGAAACTCCAAAAGTTCTGCGGCTAACGTCAATTATTTTTTGGTTTGAGTGCACAATCGCGACAAATATATATATAAATAAATAAATTACAAATAAAGTAATTAGAATTTGAAAAAAAAAATCAATAGAGGCAATTAATCAGATAATGTATTTACGCGGTACTCGACTGCTTTTTGGTGGTGCCAAATATTGCTTGTCATTCCTCGATCAACTCCTGCTGATGGAAACCTGTTTGAAGTCATTAGTTCTTTGGAGATATGTACGAAAATTGACACTGAACATTAATAATTACGCGTATTCAACTAACATAAACAATATACTATCATTTGGCTCATTTTAAAATTAAAATTTTTTGTTTTAATAAATGAACTTAATATTTTAATACGTAGCGAAGCACGTACCGTTAATAGTTATAAAGTAGTAGGTAAGTGGCCTTGTCCATTCAAGACCTATGAAGATAAACTTGAAGTATTTTATTTCATCGACGCATCCCTAAATCGGTATGTTTGAAGATGGCACCAGTCTAAACGCATATTTCCAAATTACACATGAATATAGTCCACACACTCGTCATCACAATGGAACAATGAATTTATTTTTTGCAAATAGGCCATTTACCGTATTATATGTAAAAAACAAGATAAAGCCGGCATTTCCTATCTGACCGAAACAAACTCAGAAGTCCGCCTCTTTTCAAGTCCAGACAATATGAAAAATAATAATATAATGTACGAAATCCGTGCAAATAGCCAGTATCAGTAAGGCATCAGCCTGTTGGTAGCCATAGTATACGAGTTTCTCCCCTTATAAAAGAAAAAGATGTTACAATAAAATGGCTTTGATGAATGTATAATGATCCTCATTCACCAATAATATCATATATTATTAAAAACTACAAACCCCCGGTAATTCTGAGTACGACCCTGATGCATTATGCATTTAGTGACATCTATTGCGAAATAGTTACATAACTACAAAACGAATTAATTTGAACGAGCAAGTAGTTTTGCTATAGACCGGCAGATGGCAAATAAAAAAGTGGGCGGAGGCTTATACCCCCTCACCCCGCAAAATATCACGCGGTGTTTCTTAGGGAAATCTAGTTATAACATCTCCTCTTTGTTCTTACTCCGTGCTTTAGAGAGTACACAATGAAACGTACTTGCGACCATTAGGAAGTTGGTACCATCAAATTTGCCAATTTACGATACGCTGATGATGCCAATAGGGTGCATTTGCAACAATCAAAGTTACATGATTACACTACTAGACCGAATGTAGCTTATAAGTGAGGAGATGGGGCTTTCCATAAACAAGTCCAACCTAAGGTCATGGTGGTCTATCAAAACCAAAAAACGAACCCTAAGTTTTCTCGATCTTCTGTTATGGCGCAGAGATGTAGTCCCTATGAAAATCGTGCGAGAGAAACTGATATAGAACAATGAGGAATGTGGCGCAAGGAGGAGTAGTGTGATCGACCAGATGATGAAACATACAACTTGTTAATACAGTTTTTTTATTGAAATTCTCCCACCCCATTTCACATAAATGCATAGGGAAGTCGATTTGGTTTCATAGTTACCTTAGTATAATGAAATTGCAGCGGGTCATCAGTGCTGAGTGTGACCCTCAGACCTCTAGAGAAGTACTCCGGCAGAGGGTTACGGTGGTACCTCAGAAAGAGGGAGTTGTTACTGAGAGGTGACATGGCTATGAAGATCTGCGCCAGGTAATACATGTACTGGAGAACTGGCACCTGGAGATGAAAGACAGAATTGATTAATGTTGTAAGCTGCGTAATCTAGCCAGCTTTATATAAAGGGTTGTAGAAGAGGTATTTTTTGTGGACAATAGCGATGCACAGTACGTCTTGCCAAATATATTTAATCTTTTGTAAAAGGGAGCAAGCTTATTACTATCTACAAGATAAGGATCTAGAGTCTTACTGCTTTTGATTAAAACGTAGAATGTGCTAGTTACCTTTCTCAGTACTAAGCCGTGAGAAATGTTCTCAGCAAGCAGGAACGCCACGGACATGTGCACGGCAGGCCCTGCCTCACCACAATGAGGGCGCAGCACAAATGTGTTCAGGCCTTGCTCTCTGTAATTGAAGACATTTTTTATGGCATAGGTCGGCAAACGAAGGCGGATTACCTGATGGTAAGCAATCGAGGCCGCCGACGGACACTCGTTATACTACAAGTGCGATGCCGGCCTTTTGAGGGTTATTAGGGGTTTAATAAGGATAGGGGATTTACGGATTGAGGAAGGGAGAAAGAATGAGATAAAAATAGACATGGATGTTTTTGCTCAACAATTGCAAAATACTGGCGGAATTCGGATAGAGTTCCCAGAGTGCTATTAAAAGTACTTATCATGAATATCAATCTATCTAAGGAAGGAGGAAGTCTGATGAATACTTACTTCCTTATCTGGTTCAGCACAGTCATGTTGGCGTACATGTAGTAGAGATAGTACGCGTACGGCGGGTTCTCCTCGTCATCCCATTTGTCCGGAGTCTTCATGTCAGCTGGCAACATAGTGTTTTCCGGCTTAGACTCATCGTCCACGCTGTCGAAGCCTATTACGTGCTGAAAAATAAAGAGATATTTTTGAGTGATTTGTTGTATCTTCTCTAATGGATTCTTTTACTTCTTAGAAAACTTAACTTCTAGGCATACTTACTTAATGTTTTAAGAATCTTTCTATCCGCTAGAGCGGGGTGGGAGAATCATAGGACGATTGCCCCCTCAAAAAAAAAGATTGGGAGGTAGTAGAAATTTTAAAAGATTATGGCTACGGTGCAACATTTTTGATAGAACAAACCGGTTAAGGAGATAGTAAACAGTAAATAAAACATACCGAAAGAAATTTGTGCAGGTCAGGGTCAGAACTAGGATCCACAGAGACGAGGAACAGAGGCTCGAATAGGTTCGTCAAGAACTCTTGAAAGTTCTTTAGTATCTTTTTGTACCGGTAGATATCGCTGGAAAATTAAGAATAAGGTTTTAGCAATTTGTTTTTGTGACAACTTAACCATTCAGATTTAAGTGTGGGAGAGCCATGATTTGGTACGAATGGCTCGATCGGCTCGACCGTATTGATACAACGGCCTTACCGAAAAAACGGCGTGAAAGAACCACAGCGTTTTGTTTCGGCGTGATAGTGAGGTTCCGGGAGGCCCAATCCTTCCTCTCCTCCAATCCGTCCCCAATCCCAAAATCTCCAAAATCCCTCATCCCAAAATAGATATAAAATATTCATGGCACTGAGAGTATACTCACTATAGCCTCGGCACCTGTATGAGCCAGCGTATGTGAGGGGAATGCACGTCATTCTTCACCGCCCAGGAAGCGAGCTTGCTCCACTCGTTCGATCGTTTGCAGTAGATTGAGATGCGAGGCTCCGCGTACGTGTACCTACTGTCTTTAAGGTCACCCATCACCTCCTGCAAATCAAATGGTAGGGAACATTTTCGAAACAGCACCAGGGAAAATTTTCAAATATCTAGATACTAAATCAGTTGAATTTAACTCCACAAACACATAAGTCTCAGTGTTCTCCGCTAAAAAAACTATCGTTGGTCGTATTTCCTCAGTTTCAGAGCAATGTGTGATTTAATTTGCGAAACTTTCTGCCCCACACAGCAAGACTTTGGAATGATCTTTCGATGGCGGTATTTCCGAACCTGCAAACTTTCAAGAAACGAGCGTACTCCTTCTTGAAAGGCTGGCAACGCGCCTGAGACTCATCTGGTGTCTAGGTTGTCAATGGGTGGCGCCGAACATTTACCATCAGTTTGGTGATCCGTGAACTAGACAATTCCCGATGAACAGAGGCTTTATAAACTACGCGGGTGAAACCGCGGAACACAGCTAGTGTATTATAAAAATGTACCTTAAGAATGCCGGCGAAGTACTTCCCGTTCATGTAGTTGTCAGTTTTGAGGAAGACCTCGCGCAGTCTGCTCTCTCCGATAGGGTTGTACTTGGAATTGAACTTGTCAAAACGAAGGAATGTGTTACGATCCTATAGATAACAATTCTACGAGTTTTAATCGTGTCACACAGCTAAAATGTTTTGAGTATGACCATTAGAAGTAAATTAATACAAAAAAAATAATCTATTTGAGGGAAAGATTACTAATAGAAAGGGTACAGGAAGTTCTTTAACAGGAAGGAGAGATATTTAAAACACGAAGGGTCCCCGCAAAATCCCTTTTATTATTATGTAGTATCCAGCTGTTCTCACAAAGAAAGAACCCCATTTTACCGCATGCACATCCAATATATCCACATTCAGGTCGTAAGCATCGAGACACATGTCCTCGAAGACGTTCTTCAATGTGACGGGCATCCCCTCCCGCATGGCCACCACCTCGTCTGCCTGGGTCCTCAGGGTGCGCTTGATGAAGCGCAGAAGATGCTTCTGGTTCATACAGGATGCTGCGTGGATGTGGGTGTCCACTTTCCTAGTTAATAAAGTAACCATATCGGTAAGAATATTTTTTTAAGTATCCTTTCTTTCAAACATCTTTGGTGAAGGACGGAGAACGTTGTTATCTCACTTCACATTATAGAAGTCTCGATGCGGCACCGCCTTCTGTAGCGCCAGCTCATGCAGCTCGTTGAGCAGTACGTGCATCTTAAACTTGGACGACAGGTACGACAGGCGGCGATAGCAGAACGACTTCCTGGAATACGATATGGCGATACGCAAATTAACATTTAACATCCCTTTTCGTCAAGAATATCTGTTGACTCACATACGAATGGGGGCCGTACGACTAATCAAGCGATTGACAATTTTCCAGAAGTTTACAATGTTAACTAAAAGCTTTGACTAGAAGAATTAGAATTTTCTCGATCCGTAAATCACCAGGTCTCGTTTGCAATCATGCAACAACACAACCAACGCAAACGCGGCCACAAATTCTACAATACTTACAGCGGGCCGTCGCAGATCATGGACTGCAAGTGAGCCAGGTTAGCGGCGAACTCCTGGAAGGATATGGCCTCGTAGGGCAGAGGTGTGTTAGCCTCCACGTCTAACTGATTGCGATAGATCACCATCACCCCATTCTGCCACTGGCAGACGTAGTGCATGTCCGGTGGGTGTGGAACCGTCCAGGGATCGATTAACAACATTTCTGGTGATGAAGAAACGATTTGGAGTAAATCATTGTACAATTATGAAAATAATACAGGTAGGTTTTGTGTTTGAGAGAGCCATACCGAAGTGTTGGAGAGCCATGTATCGGCGCGAATGAACCGGCTCTCGAGTGATACCATAGCCTCACAGAATACCGACGTGAAAAAATCTTACGTTGTTTCGCCGTGTGAATGAGTTAACAAGTTAAGTGGCCCAATCCTTCCTACCCCCATCCCTCCTAAACCCTAATCCCTAAATCTCCAAAGCCCTAATCGTCAAACGGCCAGCAACGCACTTGTAACTCCTCTTGTGTTTCCGGTCTCCACGTGTGGCGCCGATTTCTTACCATAACCTTCTGCTTCTTTGCCGTCTTATTCCACAAAAAAGGTAACCTACTTGCGCATACATACTCATGTTACAAAATATTACGATTACCAAGTCACTACAAATAGTTAAACATAACAAACTTGATATGGCCGGCAACTCCTCGTAGCTCTCGGTGACACCTCTGAGCGCATCCGGATTTTTAACATTCGACATTGTCACTGCAGAACAAATAATAATCCTAAATTGGATGTTAACTGCTCAACATTCGTCGCATTATCTATGTGTTGCTCAATGCTGTCTATAGGGTCGCGTGAATATAGACCCTGGCGTGGCTTGAAACTCGTCGAGTTCTTCGTCGAACAATAAAGTGAGTAAGCCGTTAAATAGGATAATTTATTTTATACGTGTTAAGTAGGGCAATGGGAACGAATTGGATGATCGGCTTACTTACGTAAAGAAAGAATTTGAGGACAAGTTCTAGACTTTTCGACTGGTTTCAGACAACACAGGAGCTTATAAATAGAATCAGTAGGTATACACAGCAACCAACATAGTGTATCGAATTGGTTACATAAGTCGTTTTACTTAAGAGTCCACATATTAAGTGTACAGACGCTAGGCTATAAGTACTTAATTGGACAGTTCTATCAAATTTATTTTCACAGATTGTAAAAGATAATTAAAATATTTGGTTACAAAATCCTTCCGCTTTGGATTGCCAAGAATTGGGTAGTTTCCTAGGTCAAAAATAAATTAATTCGACGTTTCAATACAAGAAAATATTGAAAAATAACTACACTTTTATTCATCGATCGATCAATACACTAAGTTTTAGATATTTTGTAGCTCTAATGATTAAGAAATAAGATAGCTATTTGACGCAAAAATACGATGATGTCATAACTCAGTTTTTCAAACAAATTTCATAGAAAAGTATTGTTTTTGACATTTGGATAAAAGTATTGAATTTGATTAGTTGGAAACTACCGTATTTTTAACCTGTAAGTGGTGCTGTTGTCTCTTCCTTCTTTGCTAGTCTTGGTTTCAAAGTACTTACTTCTAGCGTCGGAGACCTGAGGACTGACTTTCATCGGTATCACCAGCTCGTCAGAGGAGCACGTCGTCAGATTCATGTAGTGGTCAGCTAGAGTACCTGAACGAATGCATCAAATCACTTCTCAAACTACAAAAGCCACAATGAATAAAACCTCTTTGCCTGTCAAACGTTTTTTTTTGTGTCTTGTGAAGGAATATGTGATCTTTTTTATGGAGAAGGGGCCTTTGATCTGTAGTGGGCACTTAAATTTGATACCTAAGTAAGTACAATATTTCTCAGGTACTCATAATATTATTCACTTTCTAATTCATTTCTTAAATAATAACGAAACTCTACGTTAAAAAAACGACTTCAATGTTTCGCCTGTGTCTATTAGGGCGTAATTGAAAAACTACTGCTGAAAAACTACTACTACGAGAATAGTAGTTTTTTGGAGATTTACTTGGAAATACATACCTACTATTGATCTTATAGATCAAGAAGATACAGCGGCTATCTACAAAGTTACTATAAGAAAATTAAATTCTTACTATCCAAGTTAATAGCGTTAGTTTCATCGTAATCAGACAGTTGAAGCCTAATATTGGAGTAGGTGTCGCGCCGTTTCTGGTTGCGCAGGTAGGTGTCCACCACCGGGGAGAAGGTCTGGTTAGATTGGTTCATGTATCGCTGGCGGTACGACAGCGCCTGGAGCAGTAGCTGTGCCGAACGGATCAAGTCCTCCAGCGGCACCTGTATTTGAGAAAATAGTCTTATTTTATGACCATTTAACGCACCTACCAATAGTGCTAATACTTTTTTTGTTAGGGGGAAATCATCAAATGACTTTGACTTGCAAGTCGGCTAAACATCGGCCCTGTAAGGCCCCGTCTGTGGCGGTCTATTGGTTCTTTGCAGCGCGCGGAAAGCTACGCGCCGTACGCTCGGATCTGGTTCTAGCGAGCTACCTTCAGCTGCAGCTGTCACCTTCTGCGGTGGCTGGGTCGTGAGGACGAGGATAGCTCCCTTACGCGCTCCGCTTTCTTCTTTGCGAGCATGCACTGCTTCGCAGAAAGAGGTGACGGCTTCCCAGTTCCCTTCGACCCGCAGAAAAGTGCTATAGCTACTAGTATAAATTGTTTCAAGTTCGTGGTGACTTCTTACCCCAGTGACGTGTATCCCACTGACAGAGACGCGTTGAAAGCGCACTTCGTCGGTGTTGGTGCTGTCCCCAGGCGGGCGCACGTGTGTGCGTGTGCAGTTGATGGCGGCGGCGCGACTCATCTCCTTTACATTAGGAGCCGAGGGCCCCATCAGATCACTGACAATATACACATTAAATACCTCTTTACTTTAACGCAAGATGAGCCTTAATAGCTAATTTTTGTTTTTTGTGAACTCGTTTAATAATAAGGTAAATTATTTGTACTGCAACAAAGTAAGTATTTATGTTCAAAGTTAAGATTTCCAGTGTTGGAGAGTCATGCTGAGGCACAAATGGGCCAGTTTCATCGCAGTGATACGACCTAATAGAAAACCGTGTGAAACAGCGACAACATCGTGTTTTGCCATGGAAGTGAGGTTACCGGAGGGCCAATTCTTTCCATCCCTCCACTCTGCCCAATCCCAAACTAAATCCCCGATATCCATTATCCCCAAAGGGACGGCAACGCACTTGCCAGTGCCACCATATCTGGTGTCAAATACGATTGCTTATCATCAAGTAGGTTATCAGGCTGAGTGGTTTTATATAATTCGATAGTTATTTTGTTATTTAATCCTTTCAATATTTATTAGACAAATATTTTTAATGTTTTTTTTGACACTTTACGCTTTGGGTTTTGTATTTTTTTTATGAGCGCAACGTGATTGACCTCATAACCATCATACAGTGCGGTAAGTGGTCTAACCGATTGATACGCGTTTTTTATTTTATTTGTTGTTTTGACTAAGATCTTATGATTCTCTTCCGGCTCCAACCTCAGATCCAGGATTGAAACAAGCCTTTAAAACATATGTATAAGTAGAAGGTTAAAGATGTGTGCTCTAAATGTTTATCGAATTTCTACGACCATCTTTCAGGTCCATCATCAGATCCAACCTGTATATTCTGAAAACTGTTTGTAAACCAGGAACGCGTCAAGGAAAGTCAGTCTCCTAAAACAAAATAACTTCAAGGGCAAAAATGTTAGATACTGATTTAACGTATCATCATCGCCAGTTTTGGCGCAAGCAGGTCGCGCGGCCGCACAGCGTGATCTACGAGAGTCAGTGCGCGATCGACCTTCATATTTGTAGCACTCATTATCACCATTAGCATTAATTAGCGTAAAGTGGCAGAATATACGTATTCTGAACCTTAGCTTAGCACATTTAGCACCCAAAATATCTACCAGCTCGGAGCTTACCGTTCTAAAATACTATTTAGACAGTTTCTATCTGACCAATCGTAATTGACGGTGTCCGGTCACGCCCGACAATATTGTAGGCTTGTATGGAGCGACAATTGAGCCAGTGCTAACGCCAATAAGACTGGACCAAAACTAACTTAATTGCATAACAGTCTTAAGACGAAGACTCTTTTCAAATAAATGTTAATAGCCTCTGTAGATGTGACAATCTTAGCGAAATAAATCTAAATCTTATCACGGTTACTTGTTAAGACGTGGCTTGGTCCATTTCTTATACTCCTTGTGTGGGCCCAGGTTAGTGAGCTTGGCAGCTCTGGATGTACTCGCGTGCACGCTCGGCTTCTTAAGAGGTGATGGTCGTTTTAACATCCTGGTTTTTTTATTTATTTCTACAACACAAAAGTTTTATACCATTTTCGCGGCACCTGTCAGATCTGATTGTGTCAAATCTCAAAATGTTATGTTACCTCTTTAGTCCTTTTTTAACAAACATTCGTACTTTTTTCGCCTGACAATTGTATAAGGAGGTTCGTTTGGTTACAGTTTCCACGGAGTAGGCGTCCTAGCTTACTCCACAGAGTTGTGTTTCGCCGTGTGAGTAATGTTACCGGAAGCCTAAGCCTCCCCAGTCCCTAAATCTTCAAAGCCCTAATTCCTAAAAAGTCGGCAACGCACTCGTAACTCCTTCGTTAGGGTGTCCATGAGCGGCGCTGATTGCTTACCATCAGGTAATCCGACAGCCCGTTTGCCGAACCTACATAAAAAAGGTTAATCATAATATGCACTGCTTCATGGGGATCTTCAGCCACCAGAATAAAAGATGCTCAATCGTTTAACGGGGATTTAGGCGACCTTTCGTTGATACCTTTGCAACGCCTGAAAAAGACGCGTTGGTGGCGCGTCAAGCGGTGCCCGCTATTTTCATTTAAGACCCATTACCCATATTACCTTAACATGTAAAAAAAGATTTGAGTTTGATTTAAGCTAAATAAAACAACAAAATGTTTACAAGGTTTTTATTCATTAAATAGTAAGATTACATATTGTTTTATATTCTAAAAGACTATCTATCAATAATCTTACAATAGCCAAAACCGTTTGAAAATCACAAAAATGCTTTTAAGTACATATAACGATTACGAAAAGCAATTTAAGTTAATCAGTTTACTAAATACTTACTTGTTTTAAAAATACTTTTTTTTTGTTTTTGTGTAAAGGTAAACTTTAAAAATAAGATGATTTAGAAAACTTAAATAGGCTTACGTGACAATCTAAATAGTTTACAATAAAAATGCAGTTTACATTCATAATACAAAAAGCCCGAGGTGTCAGTGGCCCCTACACCGGCAGTGCCTACGTGGTAAAGCCTTTGATTTTTCTTTTTTTTTTACGTAAAGGCGATCGACACATTTGTAACGTATGGCGCTCTAATTGGCCGGGTGCGATATAACCAACCAATCAGAGGACTTAAACACTGTTACGTTGTCGTAAATCAATCCAGGAAATTAATTTTGAATTTTATTGTACCTACCCTATATGTAAAAAATATGATTTGTTTTATTGACGTTAGAATTATATGTATGAAGTTGAGGTAGATATTTCATCTCATTTCTATTATTGTAAGGCAATTTAAATTATAAGTATTTGTAATTTAAGTATCTATTTTCACTTGGTGAAATTCTACACAAGAGATGGTCGTTTAAGGCTGACTATAGGGGCAGCAAAGTTGGGAATGGCTGGAGACACGCCACCGTTGTTTCCATTAGTTGTTAAAGGCGCTTCGGGCTGGGCAAAGCGACTCTGTGAAATAAAAATATAAATCATTGCATTATGATCATGACACGAAGTTTTAAAAAAGTTCTGAGTTAAATAGTTATGTTCCTTGTAAATCATGATTGAGATGATGGTCTTTCAATGGTTAAATATATCGTGATCTTTTATTTTTTGTACTTACCACATATCCGATAAATTATGTTGTCTTTATTAAGTTTTTTATGTTATAAACGATTAACGAGAAATTAGACTAACATAGACATAAAGATGTATTGTCAACACACCACACAATAAAGCGGGAAATATTTATTATACCACAGATTATTAATTTATTCTTAGTAATTTCGTCTTATGGAAACTTTATGGAGTAATTATACACAAGTAGTACTTCTTTATGTGTGAAAGAGTGTACGTTGAAACTAGATGGCGCCACAGTAGAAAAAGGGTGATCATAACTGTTTGTACCTATTCACTAGCAGAAGACTTGTATTTTGATTATGCATGAAAATTTTACCAATTCATTTGAAAACTATACTTTGATACAGTGGCGCCACCTAACTAAAGCAGCTTCGTCGAACACTTTTCCTTAGAAGATAGTAATATGTAGTCCTCATAAACTGACTCCTTGGAAACTGGTACATAGACACAAATGAAGTAAGTTTCACACCACAAACCACACCGTGTACCTTAGAAGAAGAGAGGTGTGCCACACTGCTTTAGCTACAGACAAACATTTCATTGTTAAAAACAACAGATTTCTCTGGTATATTTCCTATTATAACCTAAAAGGGAAAAATGAGGACCAATCCATAGGCATTAGGTGTCCATTTTGATAATGTTTTCTAAGCGCAACTCACGTTTTCAAACATTTTTATGCCATCGGTAAATCATGAGCTATTTTATTAGTTATTTTTTCTTTACAGTCGATAACCTTTTTCGCTCAAACTGTTATTGCAGAAAAAGTTAGATATTTGTTTTGTCGGTTCTTCCCGACTCGTCTGATTTATATTTATCATAATATTAAATCGCCTTCGCTTGATAATACATTTTTTTACAGTACCTATGTTACAAATTACATACCTAGAGGACATTAGCCGTGAAAGGTTGTTGTTCGCCTCTTTTCTTATTGTACCTTCTGTAATTAGCTTTCATTGTACTACAAATTTCCTGTGTAAGTTTGTTCTGTATGTGTGTACTGTAATGTACAGACTTGGATTTGAGGACGGGAAATGGGAAGATGGAGGAACTAAATCTCCGATACCTCACTCACACAGAAGCAGAGATACACAGCGTAAGCGTTGTTTTGTTGTATGTGTAGTAAGTATATTATATTGGTCATCTGTAATTATGTAGGTGCTTTGATTAATTATAGGTACTATTACTTGTCAGTAATAAGAAAACGATTTAAATATGTGTTTTATTTTATTTTCAACAATGATAACATGTATATTTCATAATCATGATTTATAAATATTGGTACCTATACATAAACATAATTTCCAAGTCGTGTTAAGTAAGTACGACACTATCTACCTACGTTATTCCATGCAAATGCTATGCGACAAAAAAGTTTGGGACATTTCTTACTGAGGTAGAATGGAATGGTAGAAATTAAAGATTTTATTAAAAACTATTTCTTCTCAATTGATTTCTGATTTGACGTTAAAAACTTTGTTTAAAAACATAACACAAAAGGTACATCACACAATCGCATACCATTTGGACAGAAGCACAAAAATGCGTAGACAATTAACAAAACTGCATTCAAGTCACAATGGATTATGGAAAACTAATTATTACCACAATAATGTTAAACGACGTAGACCGACTAGTTTCAAGTCACGCTGAGAGCTCATAATCATGAACAACATTTCACGATGTTAAAGACATCGTGTGTAATTAATTCATGTATCACGTTGTAAACGAATGTTTTGATTAAGTTAACAAAAACATTGCTATTTATAAAGATGAAGTATTTGAATACAGTTTCGCTAATGATTAAAATACAATAGATATTAATATATTATAGGTTAGAGTAACACAATGAGACGATCACAATGTTAAGACTGTACAACCAGTTAAGCTAGCCCACAACTCACGTAAGCTAAGCTGGTACTCTTAGTAAGACACTTGAGATGATGAAGATGGGATTAAAAATGAATTATAATAGATATAAAGGTTTGTTTTCAAAGACACAAAAGAGAGATCGCTTTCAGATTCAAGTTAATTATGAAAAAAATGAGACAGGTCTGTAAACAGAGAAAATCGAATCTCTTTCTTTAAAGTCACTTGAAGAAATTACAATTATTGAGAAAAAATGAAAGATAATTTAGACGTTAAAGAAGATAATCATATATTGGAAACGGATCTTTCAGAAGAAAGTCTCAATAAAGTAGATAAAGATTTTATTCAAGAACTGGTTGATCTATTTTAAGAAAGATTAGAAGAGAATTTATTACGAATTGATGATAAATTGTGAGCTGCGGCTTAATGACAATGTAAATATAAAATTGTACAATTTGAAAAAAGCTTCCACAATAAATTCTACTTAGTTGGGTAGTAAGATAAGATTTGAAAAACATTATGAACTAGGAATGTGAACGTTTCCGAATATTGGAGAATTTTATTAAACACTTTTCTATTTAGATTTATGGAACAAACATTTAGTTGAAATATAATTACTGTCATGGCATTACGAACTTGTTTTTCCATCCTACATAATTTTTCTTTAAACAAAATATTATTAAGATCAAGTTTCACTAGCTCTACATCCACTTCATCATCAGCCGAACACATCCACATTCTTAGTTCACAAATCGATTTAATTTCTATAAATTCAAGAGCAGCAAAACTTTCTTTAATACAATGAGATGGCACTTTCAATATTTCATTTTCGCCTAGTTATCACAAGGGTCAACTATAGGGTCCTATACTTATTAATAAACATTTTTATTAAGAGGCACTGCAGCCCTGGTTTTACGTATTTATATATAAAAAACAATTATTGGTTAGTTATACAGTCTACGTTTGATTTTAGTAAATATTATATAGTTTGTTAACGTATGTTCGTTCATCCACTGTCCTGTCTGTGGATGTCGTTTATCTCCGAGCTGACATACCGTCCTGCAAATTATATGTATTTATATTTATTAATCACTTCACACACATTGTGTCTCAGTTTTGTGAGAACTTTTATGAGTGGAATACCATACAGTTAATTGTGCATGCAAGTGATTTTATTAAAGACATAGATAAAAGCACTATTACAGCCAAAATCGCTTATTAGTGAATTGGCTATTACGTGTGAAAAACTGCTTCACACTAAAACGTATACTATGTTAGCGACATTGTATATATATTGGTGCAATGTGGTTATATATATGTAGTTGAATAACATGCATTTTTTAGTAAGCACAGAAGAGTTAATGCGGTAATATACAATCGTGTCGTGGGTGACGCGCCAGATTTTTTTCATACAATCACTATGCCTAACTGTACTTGTATGTCGTGTCATGTCGCGAAGCGAAAATACACTACCGTGACGTAGTGTGTCGTGTCGCGTCAGAAGCCTATCGGTTTTGTACGCTTACTATGGCACAGTTGCGTGGCGTGGCGTTCGAAACCGGTGCGTTCTATCACGACACGACACGCCTCGACACGTTAGAGTTAGTAATACTTCGTTAGACTTTGCAAAGTTATATGCATTTGATGATAGCTTCGGGTAGCCTGTATCTGTGTATGCAGCTAGGTAAAACGTGTGCAGTAAGAATTTGTTCAAGATAGAACTTCAGGACAAAGATACTTATTTATAAACCTAAAGACTTTATAAGTATTAAGAAAAACTATTACAATAAAATAATCTGTAAGAGTACCTTAGAGCCTAAATTTCTTATTTCAATTACATTTCTATGAACCCCAAGCAAATGCAAGCCCAACAGATGCAGTTTATACTTAGGAAGACGGAATAGTAATGCGTTTGAAGTTATTTTACCTTGAAGATGTTAGTGAGTTCGTCGAGGAGGGTCTCGTGGCGGAAGGAGATGCGTATGTCTGGTACGTTGGTGCGTGTAATATCGTTGCCGGCCACTCCCTCCTTCATGTAGTTCGGGCCCAACCAGTACTGCTTCATCTGATAGAAGAAATCAATTAAATAGGACCCAAAACAGTGCCTTGTGGAAACCCATGGATGAACCGAAAATTTTAAGATCGTATTTTAACAATGCTCCTCGTCAAATAATTTAGAGCGGCTATTCTAATCATTATTTTTATACGAGAGGCCGGCCAAGAAACCGACGATTGACCTGATGGTATCCAGTCAGCGCCATGGACGTTGCTGATTTTGGGAGGAAAGATAAAGGTAAACAATAAAGGGATAACTGGTATCAGATGATCAATAAGTCAAACTGGTGGACTTAAATTTTTACATACCTCGTGCGGGAACCCGGACATGAGCACAGAGTTCCTGGCGAGCTCACACATGTCGCAAGAGCTGAGCTTCCATACCTGCGCTGCAATACTATATTCCTCCATCAACGGCTCCTTGAGACAAGAAAACAATGTGTTTTCAGATTTGTTCAAAGCATTAGACATTAAGAGATAGTTTTTGTATAGGAGAAATATTCTTGTGAAAAGAGTGGTTACCTTGGTGAAGTGAAATTGCAACGGGTCATCAGTACTGAGCGTGATGCAGAGCCCTCGAGCCAGGAACTCCGGCAGAGGGTTGCGGTGGTAGTTCAGGAACAGAGAGTTGTTGCTGAGGGGGGACATCGCGATGTAGATCTGCGCCAGGTAGTACAGGTACTGCAGGACTGGCACCTGGGAAAGAAGTAATGGTTTCAACAAGGTCTTATAAGTCGAGACTGAGATTTTTAGACAGATGTTGATTGTAGTATTTATGTCAACGTGAACAGCGTATCGGGAAATATGCTGCTATTGCAGCTATGTTAATAATGACAGTATCAGAAAATAAAGTTTCTAGAAACCAAAATGTTTAATATAAAAACAGATTGTAGTTACTTTTAAAACATCTTCCTTAAATGTCAATCGATAGAAAAAATCCTAAAGACGATCTTAAAGAAGACAGAGAAGTAAGTATATTTTTGTTACCTTCCTAAGCAGCAGACCGTGGGAAATGTTCTCAGCGAGTAAGAATCCGCAGACGAGATGCTGCACGGGACCTGCTTCACCGCAGTGAGGGCGTAGCACAAAGGTGTTTAAGCCTTGCTCCCTAAAGACAACGAAACCAGATTTAGAATCAAAAACATATGCAGGGACTGCGCAGGCTTAAAATAGAAGTAGCGTTGTAAAAGACTATGTAGGAGGTACTTGTGTGTTTTATTGAAATTGAAAATTGAAAATTGAAAAATTAAAATTGAAAATTGAATATTTTTTCCACCACATATTTTACAGGTACAGTTTAAGTTGTTACAGATTCTACATAGATATAGTAGTAGTAGATTATGGGGTAGACTGTTTTTGTGTGTTTTCAATTTGCAATTTTAAATTTTATGACCAATAAAAAAGTAAAAGACGAAGTTTAAAATTTATTTGTGGATACTTTATACTCACTTCCTGAAGTGGTTCAGCACAGTCATGTTGGCGTACATGTAGTAGAGATAGTACGCGTACGGCGGATTCTCCTCGTCATCATACTCCTCGGGACTCTTAGCGTCAGCATCCAGCATTGGATTTTCTGGCTTCGACTCATCGTCCACACTGTCGAAGCCTACTACGTGCTGCAAGGTACAACTAACTATAAGTATTGCAGCACCAAGATTTATCGAAAGACTATTTTGTGCAGGAGAATTTTTAAAACGGATAGACGGTATGTGAATATGTTATGGTAGGATTTTTAATGTATCTGTTTTTTCGGTTGCAGAACATTGCAATTCTAATCTCAAGTGAAAGCACAAAATTATTAATTACGCTGAAATCTGAAATTGTAATTATAAATTTTTTATCGCCAATCCGTCTTGAGCAAGTGTGGAGGTGAATGCTCAAACCTTCTCCGTGTGAGAAAAGGCGCTTGCTCAGAAGTGAGCGTTTATAGGCTGATGATGTTACGATGACAACTTACAGTAAGAAACTTGTGCAGTTCGTAGTTACTGTTGGGGTCCCTGGTGACCTCGAACAGCGGCTGGAAGATGTTGCTCAGGAACTCTTGGAAGTTAGTCATGATCTTGTTCGACTTGAAGATATCGCTGGAATACACACACTTATTGTTAAAGAAACATAGGAAGACATAGCTACAGTGGTTCTTTTGAAAAATGCAATTGTCATTTTTATTCATACAGTATAAACAAGCTAGAAGCAAATGGCGCTCTAAATGGGCACCATTAACACGAGGATTGACAAGTGCGTTTTTTTTTCGTGCTTTTCTTAAAGTTTTCAAGGTCGTATCGGTAATTTTGTAACGCCAGGGAAATAAGAAATCCCCACTTCTTATTAGCTGAAAAGGAACTCTCGGGCGAACAAAATAAAACTCAAAATAAGCTACTAACTATAGTCGAGGTATCTGAATGAGCCAGCGCACGTTGTCGGAGTAGACGTTGTACTGTATGGCCCACTTGGCCAGCTTGGCCCACTCGCCGGGACTCTTGCCGTAGATCGACAGCCGCAGCTCCGCATTCTGGTACTTGCTCTCCTCTAAATCTGATGCCACTTCCTTCGGAAGAGAAAATAATTATGAGATTAAATAGTTTTTTTATGTAATAGGTCGGCAAACGATCAGCCGGATTACCTGATGCCCCGCCCATGGACACCCGCAACGAGGAGTTACGAGTGCGTTGCCGACCTATTATGGATTAGGGATTTTGAGATTTAGGGATTGAGAAGGGATTAGGGGAAGGTAACCTCACTAACACGGCGAAACACAACGCTGTGGTTGTTTTACGCCGGTTTTTCTGTGAGGCCGTGGTATCACTCCGGTCGAGTCGACCCATTCGTGCCGAAGCATGGCTCTCCCACACTTAAAGTTGTTGCTATATTTTTGGCACAAGGTGTTTCTAAGCAATACAGTATAATGGAACTAATTGAACTGAAGTATATTTGCTAACTTCCTCTAAGCTAAGCAGATGCAGTGCGATAGGTACGAGATAATGAATAATGAAATCTCTAAAAACGATTTACTATACAAGCACTCAACAATAAATGCACATTGGACAGATAAACTAAAAAACGGAATCTATAAAACCCTTGGATGACTTTCTAGAAATACGGCAGACGGTACAATATATTAAGTTTTAATTACTTCGTTTCGGAAATAACCAAAAAAATTACCTTGATGATCCTAGCGAAGTACTTCCCGTTCATGTAGTTGTCAGTCTTGAGGAAGACCTCGCGCAGTCTGCTCTCGCCGATAGGGTTGTACTTGGCGTTGAACTTGTCGAAACGGTGGAACGTGTTGCGGTCCTGGAATATTAAGTACATGACAATTAGATTTTTTTTTATTGGAATTGAAAGACGTCACTTTATGTAATACGCCGTTAAACGAGCAGACTGATTACCTGATGGTAAGCAATCGGCGCAGCCCATAGATACCCGCAACACCAAAGGAGTTACGAGTGCCTTGCCGGAATTTTCGGGATAAGGGTTTCGGACATTTAATAATATTGAGAAGGGATGAAGAAGGTTTTTGAGCCTTCGGTAACCTTACTCACGCGGCGAAACACAACGCTGTGGTTGTTTCACGCCGGTTTCATTATAATAGGAAATGGGGCTAAGAAGACACTTTCGAAGTCACAGTTTTTCCTTAATAGGTACTTACAGCATGCACGTCCAGCATATCCACTGTAAGGTCGTAGGTGCTGAGGTTCATAGACTGGAACACTGACTTCAGCGTCATCGGAGTGCCCTTGTGGAGGGTCACTACCTGAAAACAATCGCAATTATTATAAAGAAAAGTTAAACCGCAGCCAAAATGATTTGATAATTGTTAAGAACACTTTTTCAAAAGAACTACTGAACGGATCCGAATGAAATCTGATACAGAAAGGGATATAGTGTGGCATAAGACAAAGGCCTTTACCCTGGTACTGCAGACGAAGCCGCTGGCAGACCTTAGTTTGCCATTTTTTTTTTATGTAATGGGTCGGCAAACGAGCAGACGGATTACCTGATGGTATTGGTAAGCAATCAGCGCCGCCCATGGACACCCGCAACGGAGGAGTTACGAGTGCGTTGCCGATCTTTTAGGGATTAGGGATTTGGAGATTTAGGGATTGAGGAGGGATTGGGGCGGGGAAGGATTGGGCCTCCGGTAACCTCACTCACACGGCGAAACACAACGCTGTGGTTGTTTCACGCCGGTCTTCTGTGAGGCCGTGGTATCACTCCGATCGAGCCGACCCATTCGTGCCGAAGCATGGCTCTCCCACACTTAGTTTGCCATTAATCTAAATACTTGTGTATATTTGTCAATGTAAAATGCCCTCCAAACTGTGCCATAAAAACAGTAGGTATCTTATTGAAAGACGAAATACAAACCTCATCAGCATGGTTCTTCAAGGTCTTCTTGATGAAGCGAAGAAGATGTTTCTGGTTCATACACGATGCTGCGTGGATGTGAGTGTCCACTTTCCTAGAAGACAGAATCAAGAATACATAACCAATGCACAACGGCACAGACCTCATCGTTTTTTGCGTCTACTTCAATCTTATCTCTTGTAATGTGTTAATTAATATGGTTTTAGTAGAAACAATTTATTTATGGCTGAGGAATAACGATCCTATAGTCCTTCATTCTCACCTTATGTTGTAGAAGTCCCGGTGAGGCACCGCCTTCTGCGAGGCGAGCTCCCGAAGCTCATTGAGCAGAACGTGCAACTGGAACTTGGACGACAGGTACGACAGTCGACGGTAGCAGAACGATTTGCTGGGGAAAAGAGATAGATAGTGTTTTTTATACTCTGTAGTCCTAAACAAAAGAGTATTTGTAAAAGTTTTTAAGCGTTCGACCTTTGGCTTGTGATCATTCACAAAATAATAACAGCTGATGTCAGCTGTTAGCTTTCAATATTGGCTTATTGGCAGGCATTTGGTTATTTAGCTGTTTGCTTACAGCATCCTGTCATCGACTTCCATCCTTCTGTTTTCGACCTTAAAATTTCATCCTGAGACTTTAAACTTTTAACTTTCAACCTTCGGCTAAAACCAGCCCTGCTTTCGGCTTCCAGTTTCCAGTCTTCTGCTCTTTCGGCTATAAAGTTCTGTTTTACTATTTAAATAAAAATTGCAGGCATACTCACAGTGGTCCATCCGACATCATGTTGCACATGGTATTTTTGTCCTGAATGAACTGCTGCAGCGTGATGTACTGGTACGGCAGCCGCTCCTCCTGCCCGTTCTCTCCCTTCTTGTACAAGTTGAACACGCCCTTGTCTGGTCTGATCACGTAATCCTTCGGCTCAGGATTGTGGCACTCCCACGGATCCTTGCCCGCCCTGAACGGTGGGTGGACGATGTGATCTGGAAGTAAAGTCAACGTCAAAATCAATTATTCCAACTAAACCATGAATAGGCTTTAACTTTAACTTTTGACACGTCAAAAAAAACGTGTAAATACTGTCTTTACAATTTTAGAGTCTTTATATGATGCTAGTATAGAAGTTCTTTATTAGTGATCGATGTACCCACACCATAAAACTTTTCTAGATTTTTGTTGTAAATGCCGTCGATTTTAGTAATTCATGCGAAAATAAGATGCTAGATTAATAAATGTGTAACAAATCAAGTTTGACTATATTTTGGATAATCAACTACATTTTGGATTTAACAGATACATACCGTTGTTAAAGACTATACAACAAAATAAATAAAGAATATACAATAAGGACGTTCTTCAATACTTAGTTTAAAACGTTCACTACTTACCAGCGATGTGCTTCTGGACATGTACGCTGGGCACGTACGCGGGCGCGTTGGCGTCAGTACTGCGCACGAACCGCGCCGTGATGGTGGCGTAGCTCTGCTGCGACATCTCCATGTAGCGCTTGCGCATCTCCAGCGCCTGGACCAAGTATGAGGACGCTTGCTGGAGATCTTCTAGCGGGACCTGCGAGAAATGGGTGATTGAAGATCTTGCCGATCGAAATGTTATGTTGTTTAGCTTCTTTGATAATAAATACCTACATAATTGTATTTCTAGACTTTTAGTAAGTATGTTTTTCTTTTCACTGATTTATTCGTTCAATAGAAAAGATCAATGCAAAAACTTGGGGTTAAGAAATTATTTCACTTAGGAAAACATAATCAAGCTTCGAGCCTTTCTTTTAATCTTTTATATTAATATCTTTATCTGAACTCACCCCAGAAGTATCTTCTCCACTGATGGCGACTCTCTGGAAGTGTGGTAGCACAAAGTCGGTCTCGTCATCATCAGCGGACCGCAGCCTCTCGTCGAAGACCGCGCCCGCGCCACCTGCCTCGCTGCCACCGAACGAACGCACTGATTGACCGCATTCTGCTGCCCTAGAGGTACAAAGAAAAAAGCCGTTTAAAATTTGTTTTCTTGTTATTTTATAGAAAATATTACTTTTTCTTGTTATTATTTAGGTACTTGATTGGGCTGGCTCGATCGGAGTGATACCATGACCTCAGAAAACTGTTTTGAAACAACCACCGCCGCGATGTATTTTGCCGTATAAGGGAGGTTACTGGAGCCCCAAATCTACTCTCCCTCCCGCATTCTTTCCCAATCCCTAAATCTGCGAAACCCGCAAAGTGCAGTAACATAAAACTGGAGAGGTTGAAGATACCTAGAATATTTTCTGTGAATGTTTGACATAATAAAAGTTGCTTCCACTATACTACTGTATCCTACATATAGCTGCAAACAAAAAACATCGCAAAAATGACTATTAGCTGGCTTGGTCGGTATATCAATGGCGGCTCTGGTGGTTTCATAAAACCATAGAATTTAGATATTAGGTATTTAAACAATTTACTTTGATATCAATTAAAGTCACCATAACAGTACGTACAATAGACCAAATGATTGATGGCAAATAGATGAGACAATACGGCGGCCGCCGTGACCACACTAATTACCCAAATACACAAATATTAGTACAGACAGACATTATTACCATTTGAAGCATTCCCGCTAATAACATTTGTATTAATTAAGGTTTTTATTAGGTATATTAGGTAATTCACTTTAGTGAATTAGGTACCTAAAATAATAAATAATAGTTAAAGAACCTATTGTTGTGAAGCAACTAGGTCTTATGTTTAATTTTTTTTATTTACTATATTACATTTCTTTCCAGAATATATTGTAGTTTAAATTCTTAAATTCGAGGTTGCATTATAATCGAACAAAAATACCTATTATAAGAACAATGTGGTCTGCACAAGTATGTAATACAAAGAAAGATCAAAATTTGAATTCAGAATCAAATTGAAATTAATGTTTTGATACAAATTTAAGTGGTAAGTATAATGTATAAGTATCATAGCATTCTGTATAATAATAAATTAACAGTCTGCCTGATCTGGAAGAAAAATCCTGGATAATGCGAGGCAGAATGAACATATGTACCTAACATTTCAAAAATAATGATCTAATATTGCTTACCACAATTATTATATTAAAATATAAAGTAAATTGTTCGGTTAAGGTACATTTTTGTGAGTATATTGGTTTGTTGTATTCGGAAAAGCAGGTACCTACGTTAAAGCAAGGAACGTCAGAAAGACAACCATAAAGTAGTACGGCGATAAAATTAAATGTAAGTAGAAATTCACAGATAATTTATAAAACGTAATTATAAAAAAAATATCTCATTCACATCAAAAAATTATTAGGTACACCTGTACACATAACGGACAGCAGACAGACAATGAAAAAAAGGATAAGTCAAAAATTTATTTTATAATTTCAAAAAACAATCCCAGTTACCTATTGTAAACTTAAAATACCTATATTTTGCTTTTTCAACACCGGATGTTTTAGAACAACACTCACGCTACGAATTGGAATTCGAAACGAACGAATTGTGCAAAACTTCGGATATCCGTTTTCCAAGAGCATTCATATTCGCGAAACTAATTAAAATATCCGCTATTCTAGTGGGCGCTATTAAAAGTTTGCCTACCTTGAATTTCTTATCGACGTCCATCTCTGGCATTCAATTTTACTTCCAAACATAATATCACTAACACCACAGATTATATTAACACAACTGTCACTAAATACAAAAAAAAAACAAATCACATTTCCCGCTAAAAGTAACAAGTTTTTTAATAACAAGACAGGATGGCAATGGTACGGCCGCGTTCAGCCAGCGACACGCGTTGCAATGCAATCAAATTACAAATGCCGCGGCATCCCTCACGGTAAGGGTTACTGTCGCTCCAAGGTTAATCCAATTACTTCCCACTAATAATATCGAGTCTCAGCGGCGTATCGAGCTCGTGTAAACGTGGCGACCGCAAAAAGAGGTTTATCGATGGTTTAAAGAGGAGCTTAGGCCCCGAGAGTATTTATAGACTGGAGGTGGCAAGACTTACCACTAATGCTTCTAGAACACAATGGCGGCAGTTACATCGCTCTTATACGGCCAGAGGAACGTTTACGTGACATATAAACGTGATGGCAAGGGCGAAGATGATGTTGGTATCAAAGGAATGACTCAGATTTGATTGAGTAGATTGCAACACACAATTATTGGTGTTAGGCACATTAGTCGACCTATTACTCTAATGGTCAGCTAAACATAACCAAAGCTTGACTCTTCCAGGCTGCTAGGATCTAAGATCAAAGGCGAGATCGCAGCGTAAGTGCATCTCCAGCTGCTTGATCAAGCAAACATTATTTGACACACTAACGTGCAACACGTGTCTGCACTGCATCACGTAAACAGTTTTCACTATGTGAATATTTGCATTACATTGAACCTTACAAAAAATCGGCAATCTAATGATAATGTAAGCGACATCGCTCGAAGGACTAACGACGGTCGATGGGCAAGCAAAGTCCTTGAGAAGAAACCACGGAGTCAATGAGGCAAGACCTCACGGCATGTGGACAGAATCGTCAGAATCGCGGGGAGCCAATGGATGCAGTGGTGAGAGCGAACATGGAATAGTTATGGGGGAGGCTTTTGTACAGCTATGGCTTGCGATGATGACAATGATCATAGCATTTGCAGCCTAATCTATACCAATAATATTAGTATAGATTAAGTTGAAGAGTTTGTTTGTTTGTTTTAACGCGCTAATCGCCGGAACTACTGCTTCGAATGGAACAATTCTTTTTGTGTCCGTTAGTCCATTTATTGAGGAAGGCTATTAGTTATAAAACACCCGAGCAGGTGATGGAACCGCGCGAGAGTAGATAGTCATTAAATATTAGGAAGAAATAGATTTGTAACTAGCTTTTTTTTATGTTATAGGTCGGCAAACGAGGGTAAGCAATCAGCGCCGCCCATAGCCACTCGCAACGGAGGAGTTACGAGTGCGTTGCCGACTTTTTAGGTATTAGGGATTTGGAGATTTAGGGATTGGGGGAGGGGAAGGATTGGGACTCCGGTAACCTCACTCACACGGCGAAACACAACGCTGTGGTTTTTTCACGCCGGTTTCTGTGAGGCCGTCGTATCACTCTGGTCGAGCCGACCCATTCGCGGCGAAGCATGACGCCCACACTTAATTTGATGATGATGAGATGTCAACCAGCTGAAAGTTTTCAACTCCAAACACTGTTTCAAAACATATCCGTTAGATCTATTTATTTCAGAGTAGACGACACTAATAAAGGATATAATTCATGAGAGGGCGAGGCAGGGTTTACGACTAGATATCAATTAAGTCGAGACAGTGTATCTACATCGATTAACATAATATGTATGTAGGTAGCAGCTTATTGTTGGGTGACTGCACGGTTGGTGCGGTGGCTGGGCAACTGACTGCCGTGCAACGTGTCGCGGGTTCCATTCCCGCACGGAACAACTCTTTGTGTGATCCACTAATTGTACTTCCGGGTCAAGGAGTGATGTGTGTGTGGAATTGTATGTTTGTAAACGCCCCCACGTCACAGGAAAAAAACCTAGTGTGGGGCAATGTTTTAACAAAAAAAAAGGTACATTTGTCACACTTATCACATTTAGTTTCCATTTTATAAAAAAGTAACCCACAATTTATTTAAACAAAAACATTGTTGCTATCAACTATAATTACGCAAATTAGATAAGACAAGGTCATAAGTTGAAGCTTTGAAATTCATTTGTTTAATAATATAGTGATGTAATGCGAACACAATATTCAAAAAATGATAAGATTGTAGAAACGGCTCCAGAAAACAATCTGAGTTTTAAGCCCTATTTTTTTTATGGTATAAGTCGGCAAACGAGCAGACGGATTACCTGATGGTAAGCAATCGGCGCCGCCCACGGACACCCGCAACACCAAAGGAGTTACGAGTGCGTTGCTGGCCTTTTGAGGGGTTGCGGATATAGGGATCGGGAAGGGGGTGGGTTCGGGCCTCCGGTACCTTCACTTACACGGCGAAACACAACGCTGTGGTTGTTTCTTGCCGGTATTCTGAGCCGACTCATTCGTGCCGATGCTTATGGCTCTCCCACACTTACATTCACACGAAGTTTACACTGGTCAACCCAGGAGGGTTAGTTAGCAAATTAATGGTGGGTAATTTTTTCTTTCCAAACTGTTGTGACCCTGGCCATTACATTACAAGGTAAAAATCTAGACGGATTACCTGATGGTTAACCATCAGCGCTGTCCATGGACACATGCAACGTCAGAGGATTTGCAAGTGCGTTGCCGACTTTTTGGGGCTAGGAAATTGATAGGAGGGTGAGGAGGTGGTTTTTTGATTAACCTAACTCACATGGCGAAACACAACACAAGTTTATTTCAAGCCAGTTTCCTGTACCTAAGGCCGTGGTATCACTCCGAAGCATGGATTACCTTTAGCTAAAATTGTCCCTCTCCAATTTCTAACAACTACTAATTGACTGTTTCGAACTTAGAAATTCATCCAGACAAAAGCCCCTTATTCAAGGAATAACAAAACTGAAACCGAACAAAACAAAAACAATAGACTATTTTGAACCAAAACGGAGCCATGTCTAAAGGAGCACGTGGCACACACGACCCTGACTCAGTCGAAGGCCACGCAAATTGAATTACACAAATACACAGGCCGTGTAAACGATTTGTAGTAAACCATTCTGCTTTGAAACTTTGAAGAAAAGGGCTTTTCATCATATTTTCATTCTATTAGTCTATAATTTTAGCTAGATTTGGTTGGATATGAAACAAATACATACTTAGCTATGTGTTTCCTTACAAATGTTACTTTGAGCCTTACGGTTAAACATAATTTTATTGGGTTTCCTTTTAGGTTACTGTCTACTTTTTAGATAATTTCAAAGGTAGGGTTATATTTTTTTCATATTCAGAACAAGAGTCTATTGAAACATCCAAGTATTAAAAATTATGACCAGTCCAATTTATTTCTTAGCTTTACTTTTATTGTTCTTAAATCTTCCTTATGAGACAAATTGCCGTGTCATCGTATTAAGAAAGTGGGAGATCAGAAAGTTGATTTCTATTTGCGCACATACGTGTTTAGTGTACCTATTTATTTACTGCAACGGCAACTAGAAACTAATTAAGATTAGACGTTAAGATCAAAAGTAAATCAAAATCATAATATAGTGGAGGTGGAGGATTTATTTATTACTAGCCTTTGCCCGCGATTTCGTTAGCGTGGAATAGTGACTTCCTGCAGATTTTTGGTATAACAGTACCCAAGTTCACAGAAATCGGTTCAGTTGTTCAGTAGTTTAGGCGTGAAGAAAAGACAGACAGACAGACAGACAGAGTTACTGTCTACTTTTGAATTTATAATATTAGTTTGGAAGTTTGAATAGTTTGCATAATTGTTATGTAGTGGAGGTTCTTTTTGTAAAAGACAATACTATTAAATAACTTTAGACAGATTGGCTGTTCTCTGTACGTCTATAGTACGTCTAAACATTCTGGAAATAAATAGCTCCTAGTGATAAGTGACTTCTCTCATCGCTGGCACTCCAGTGCAGCGCACTAAAGTAAACAGTCACCCGACACTGAGCCGCGAGCCGCCTTCGACTCAACACCTCTATTTACTGCACGTAGGGTTGTCAGGTCGCCATTCACACCATCACAAGGTCGCCTTTTTTAAAAAAGATAGTTCTCCCCCGAACCATGCGATGTGATTCTGTAAGACTTCATTCTAAACTATAAAACAATTTGTTGTTTTTCCCCGTCACAAAAAAAAAACAAACCAAATAGTAACATTTTTTTTATCGGAGCCAGATTTTGTGAACGCGAGATCTTGAAGAAAGAGAATGTTGATCCGCGTAAATGTCAAAAACCTCAAAGGCAAGTCGTAATATTTACTGGACAGGCAATCAAAAAGCCTACAACTATGCCCAGTTTTATCCGGACGCCTGGCAACCCTACCTACAGACACATCGGCTAATGGAACTTGAGTACGTTTGTATTGCTATCCTATCGAATAAGAATACTATGATACTTATCAGTATTTTCTAAAGGGTTTCAGGGGGAGGAGGAGGGCAGGTCCTTGTTGTTCTGTCTATGAGTATGATATTGTTAAAAATTCGGTACAGATTATATTTTTGGAAAAAGAACAGGCAATACAAGTTTTTGCTCCATTGCAGTAAAGTTTATCGAGTCATAAACAAATTAGAGAGAACTGATTGAGAAGATCATTATTATTATCCAGACGTTCTCCACCAAACACAATCCACTCCCAATGGTTTCCAGATCAGCTGACTACAAGCGACCAGCTTCCAGCGATCTAGGTCGTTTATTCACTTTCAAAGTATTTGGTATGATTTTCTTAACGTCAGAGGATCATGACTTGTGTAAAAATATGATTTATTATCAGCATCATTCATGTTATGTGTAAATGGAGATGAACAAAGGCTAATACAACGCTGATATGATCAATCAGTAATATCGATAGCTTTATATTTCACTCTTCCTTTGATGTTGCCCATTTCGTACAAATAAATATTTATTTGTTACCTACCTTAAAATGTTCCTACCAATTAAGTCTAAATATAAAATAAATAATCTTTGATTCTTTTCTATACTTTTAACTGAGATGCCTCCAAAACGTAACGATTTCATACCTACATAAAAAACCCATCTAAAATATTGACTAAAATCTTCTTGACAGGTGTTAAAACTAGTAAAATTATTACGGACGTTGTATCAGTAACACAATTAAATCAAAGAACTCATCTTGAAATCATCAAATAACTTCTCTTTCCCAGGAGAAGGCGAGAGGGAGTGTCAGACTCTTAATGAATAAGCCACCGTCCATGCTACAGGCCAAGGATGCGCTTGCCCCGCAACCCCGGCTAAACATCAGCCCTAATGGGCCCCATCTCTAGTAGTGTATTGGCTCTCTAGAGCGCACGAAACGCTACGCGCCGTAGTTACGCTAAGGTCTGGTTCTGGTTGGGTGGCGAGCTACTTGCTCACCTTCTCCTCGCTTACGGTAGCTACAGATCGTAACTTCTTTGTTATAAAGTTGATAACGGATTGTGTGAGTGAGTGTAACGAAAAGTATAACCCAAAAGAAGAACATTACCTACTGATTTCCTCACTTAACTCTCTAGATCAGAGCAAAATCTGTAATAACAATAACCATAATAATAGGTCTTTACAGCTATGAAATTGCCGTTTTGCATGAAAAAATTTAAACGATTTTTTTGATTTGAAATGCGATGAAAATGTAACACTAATCAATAAACAAATGACTACTTTTGGAAAAAGAATCCCATGTTTTTAAAACAAAATTAATTAGCCTTAGCCTAAAAAAACCTATTTTGATTTGAAATGGCCAGTAATGCAGAACGGCAATTTCATAGGTAAGGACCTATTATGTACATGGTTATTTAAAAACCGACTTACTTGACGTTCAGCTGCCTTTGTATGAGGAGTTTCTTCTCAATCTGCTCTATGGGGAACTGTGGGACCTCGTACGGGGCTGACAGCTCATTGGGGAGCTCCCGGGGCGCCTCGGCGCCCACTGCACTTGTGGGGCTCTCACTCCCTGGTAACAAAAGAAGAACATTATTGAAATAATAAGAAGGATAGATAAACAAAAGTTGTACATTGAGAATGAATTTGTAAAATATATCTAATTCAATACGAATTAAGGCATTATTTTCTATTTCGCCTTTTTCTCATATAAGAACTCGTGTAATACTTCTGATCTGCATTTATTTCCACAATCTCTCCTCGATTGTTAATCAATGTTGTGAACAAAATTAACAAAATGTCTACAAGTAGGTACTCGCCATTAACATCGTTAAAGTTATAGCCTCAGAAACATAAACATTTTAACGAAATTAATGAACTTTCTTCAAAGTTAAATAATTTTAACAAACTCCGTGTGCTAGTTTACCAAGATGGAGTACCTACTCTCCAACAATTTTAATATAATCAATGGTCTATTTTAAAAACTGAGCGAAAACAAAACTCGATTTAAAAGCACTTTAACAGGATTATGTCGAGGAGAAATAATGCAATATTAAATAGAACTCGACACTAAAGTTATAAATGGAAACTTATTGGTACATAAATAAAATGGCAAATCGTGCCAAAATCAACCGGCGGAAGAATTTTATTGAGTCACTGCGCGTAGGTACTCCAATAGCGCTTAATTTCAGATTGTGTCCGAAACCATTTCTCATATCCATAATTAGTATTTACATATTTATCAATATGGTAATATATCTATGGATGTATTTTGTCACGCAAAAACGGCTGGACCGATGGTTGAAGTATGTTTAATAGGTGATACCCTGAATTAACATATACTTTTCATCCACAATGAGGGCTTAGCCGCAAGAGTAAGTTTCTTTATATAAATAGCTTCACTAAGAGGACTGACACGATATCTTCAAAATTTTGTTTTGACGTTCAAAAGTGCCTGTAAAGGTCTAATTGGAATAAATGATTTTTGACTTTTGACTTTTTAAAGTAAATCAATACAGAGACAGTAAAACACAAAGTTTAAAAAGCATCCAGGATAACACACAATCTTATTAAAAAAACGAGGAAGAAACTCTCTCATAATACTTTTAACCTTTTCTCTCTGCACTTAATTAGAGCTTCAATTAGCTTTAATGTGAAAAGTTTAATGATATTGTGTAACCAAGCACCATAGTTTAATAGAACATTGTTTTTTTACAATACGGGTGATAGAATCTGAATCTGCTTTATTGTGTTACATTGAGTTATCCTAATTTATACCTACGACAATCAGGATGTTAAAGCGCCCGTTTTTTCATGATGAGGGAACTGTTTCGACACCTGGCAAGCACCAATGAAGTCACATTGTTTTTCAAGTTACATGTTCTTTCTGAGTTTATTTAGACACCACTGACAAACGGTGAAAATAAACATTGTCAGGAATCCTTGCGTTCATCATCATCAGCCTATAAGTGCCCACTGCTGAGCAAAGGCCTCTTCTCATACGGAGAAGGCTTGAGCATTGATCACCACCCTTGCTCAATGCGGGTTGGTGATTTCAAACCTATGATTAGAAATTATAAGTCCAGGTTTCCACACGATATTTACCTTCACCGTATGGCAATGGTGTCTAAATTTGATAATTTTTCCGAGCTATATGTACTTTCTATATGATTGTAGAAAGTACATATAACTCGGAAAAAGTCACATTGGTACTTGCCAGGTTTCGACTTTGGAATCCACACTCACATGCATGAGAAGCGAGCTCCTTAATCTCCGGGCCACCACGACATCATCCTTGCTTTATACCGTAATAATTTGTAATTAGGTATAGGTAAGTTTCTAATCACTAATAAGCCTTGAGCAAGCGTGGTAATTGATGCTCAAACCTGCTTCGTGAAAGAGGAGGCCGTAGAATCAATATTAATACACCGAAGGAGATGAAATCAAGGACTCGTCTGCCGTTCTCGGTAAAAAAAAAGTAGTCGCGTAAATGAAGTCAATGGTAGTCTTATTACAAGTTCTCTATGAACTCGTTACTAAGAAAATTCTGTACTCGTATCAGTCTATAATACAATATATAATATTGTGTTAGTACAGTATAAATACACATAGATATAAGATGGTCACATAGAATATCTTTGATTCTTACGAAATTGTCAAGATACAACCAAGACTTTGTTTTCTTTAAACGTGAATCACTTATTTTCTAAAAAAAACTCCTTGGTGGGATTTTCAGGAGTATGTTGGTTAGTGTTATCATTTGTATTGTAATAGTTCGTGGGTTAAAACCGAGTTTTATTTTGAAACGTCTGTACGTCTAGAGGTATATTCTATCATTTTTTCATTCTTAATCAAAGGAGGCTGGTGTCCATAGTAGGGGGGAATAAGCACACTCGTCATCAACGAAAGTCGTAGGTACTGTAATTTAGAAAAATATGCGTATTTCTTTGTTTTATTTGCACCACAACCTACTAATGTTTTGCCGGGGTTGCGGGGTAAGCGCAATGAGACACCGCGACCTCGGCTCAGAACAGGAGAAGGAACAGGGGGTAAAAACTCCCATCAGCAAGAGTCTGACACTCCCTCCCGCCCGGCCCTGGGCGGGAGAAGTCATTTGATGATTTTCCCCTCACAAAAAATAATATAGTATTAGTATAGTATAATAATGTTTTGGTTTGTACTTATATGGTAAATACTTATATGTATAAAAGGGCGTTCTTAAAAACTGTATTGAAACATTACACCATAGGTACTTTAAAGTTTAAACATTCACTTTAATGTTTCGAAACCTGTAAGTTGACACGTCTGGCCTGTTGTTTACGAGACAGAGGTCACGAACCCGGCCCGGATCGATCACGGAAAATAATTGACTAACTGTTGTTCATTATAAACGCTAAATTAAGATTGGTACCTAGTGTTTGGAAGGCTGACAGAAATCACGCGTGTCTTAATTACTTGATTAAGTTAATGAAAATTGATGCTTATTTGTATTAGCATTAAGTATACGTTACTTATTACGTTGCTAAAATTGTGGTATAGCTGTTAATTCATTCAGACAGAAGTTTATAGACAAAAGGATATCTTGACGCACGGTTGGCGCAGTGGCTGGGCAACTGACTGATGTGCAACGTGTCGCAGGTTCGATTCCCCCACGGAACAACACTTTGTGTGATCCACAAATTGTTGTTTCAGGTCTGGGTGTGTTGTGTAGGTATGTGAATTTGTATGTTTTAAACGCACCCACGACACAGGAGAAAATCCTAGTGTGAAGCAGTGTTTAAAAAAAAATCTACTTAAGTACCTACCGATTTATTGTGTTCACTTCTGTTTCTATATAAAGATTAGATATATAGATTAGAAATATACCAATGGGACTTTTTCGTAGAAATATTATGTCTCTTTCTAATGTTGTTTTGATACCACCAGCATAGAAAGGAACACTAAAGGAAAACATCGTGAGGTAACTTGGACTTTAATTTTGCTAATTGTATCTACGTTTGAAATCGCCAATCCAATTTATACCAGCAAGCTTGGTAGATATTGAATGCTGAAACCTCCTTCCTCCTTTGAGATACAAAGAGGCGTGGTAGGTGGTTGTGGGCGATTAAAAGCTGATGAAGATGAAGGTGGTGTCTATGCTCAAGTCACTTAAATAAATTACTTACTATTATTGAATACATATAAGCTGAAGCATTTAAGTTCCTAGTAAGACAAGTATTGCAGAGGATTTACTGAGATAGTTCGCAAAAAATAGATTTTAAAATATTAATAATGCATTATTGATGTAGGTACGATCATTTTTTTATGTAGGTCTTCATCAACATCTCATTGAAAACTACACAACTTAAAGATTGTCTTGCCCCGAGTAAAAACAACTATATTCTTTCTCCTGCTCCAAGCAAGTGGCCTCGGTAAATCATTGCGCTTACATCCGCAGCCCCGGAATGCCAAAGTCTAGTTTATTATTTAGAGTAATCTGCAATTATTACCTGTACCGTACACAAGTGTTTGTGTATATAATGTACTTAGGTATACACTACACTAAGACTACTACAGTGTATATTAAATCTATATTGACTACGAATTGCTTTACACATCTCAAGAGAGCCCTCAAATCAACTTACTTAGAACTGAAGGGAATAACTCAAAGTTATGTACTTCTATTGATCTTATGCTATGGAAATTGCTCATCGTATTGGAAACCAGCAGAGATCGTTCAGTAAACATTTCAATTTATATTAATGATACAGATCTTAAATAGAGCGTGAATTTGAAACGTCGTAGAATGTTATAATTTGATCGCGTTCAATAACAATATAAGTCATCATCATCTTCCTGCCCTTGTCCCGTTTTATTTGGGGTCGGCGCAATATGTTTTTTTCTTCCATTCTGTCCTGTCACTCGTCACGCTATCGCTAACTCCTCTGTCTTCCATATCACTTCACACACAATCCATCCATATTTTCTTTGGTCTCCCCCTCCCTCTCCATCCATCCACATTTATACTCATGACTTTTTTTGTTACATGCTTTTCATCCCTCCTCCAATCCTTCAATAACAATATAAGTACCAACCTATATTTTGTTTTTTCATGTCATAAATCGGCAAACGAGCTAACAGATTACCTGGTGGAAAGCAATCAGCGCCGCCCATGGAGACTCGTAATACCAAAGGAGTTACTTACTATAAGTGCGTTGCCGGCCTCTTGTGGGTCACAAGGGATTAAAGGATAGGGGATTTGAGGATTAAGGATGGGCCTCCCGGTGACTTCAGTCACCAGGCGGAACACAAACTAAGTGTTGTTTCACGCTGGTTTGTGAGACCGTGGTTTCACTCCTATCTGTGTCGAAGCTTGCCCCTTTCAAATTTATTTCACAAATTCTACAATACAACCTACTCAAGTACAACCACGGAATAGATAAATAACCTTATTTATCTATTCCGTGAGTACAACAGCATCACTGCGATGTAATCACGACCGCAGCGCGGGGGATACAGAGTCGGCGTTGTGCCAATTCCTTGCTGTGCTAATTTCGAAAAAAGTAATAAAACATAGCTATGGCTCCTTCCTCAAAGGGATCGTATTTTCAAATATATTTTTGAAGCAAAATACCAAAAAAAAAGAAATAGAGCAAAATATGAATGCTAAGCTGACCATGGGTTTCACATTTAGTGAGACATTCTTATTTTTTTATTAATTTTCTAGTGACACAAATGCGTGTGCGTTCAACACTTTACTAAATATTTTATAATATACTATTCGTATAATGATTAGCGGTAGGTAATGGAAATGTACCTATAATTACGTTTAAGTAAAATGAATTGTCTTAGAGCCCTACATTTAACAACAAACTGTGTAGTTTGGCACAAGTCATATTTTAGTTAATTTACTGTTACCTACTACGATAAAAGCTACTTCTTTTTAAAAAAATGTAAGTAATGTATAAAAATACAATCATAAACGAATTGTTAACATATCGAGTGGAAATCTGCAGTAGGTAGTTTTATTTAATGGCTGCCGTCAAAGTCCGGCTGCCAGCACGCGATTAATCCTGTAGCCTGTACGCAATGCGTAAGACCATATATTTTAGTTTTTATACCACCAGGATGCGAAGTATGCCAATTTTATGACTTAAATGTGACATTAAAGAGATTTGTTGACATTCCTTATTTTAATAATGGATATCCGCCTTATCCTTTTTCCTATTCTTTTTTAGTTTTGTTTTTATTGTCCTGTCTAGCAATCATCATGATGATAAGCTTCTTTATAATATGCTCACTACGGAGCGTAGACTTCTTCTCGTACGGAGAATAAATGAGCATTAATCACCACGCTTACTCAAGGTGGATTGGTGATTTGCAACAAGTATATTTATTTACACAGCTTTCCCTATGATGTTTTCATTTACCGTATGTCCGTAGTGTCTAAATCATTTTGAAAAGTAGGTGTACATAGAAATTACACATTGTTGCTTGCTAAGTTTCCATTATTATAGTCGTTATTTCCAAATCATTATGCAAATCTTTTCCTATAAGTAATATCAACTGCATCATTTTTTATTTTAATATTAAATTACTCCTTTAGCTATTGATGAAGTTTAATGGAGATACTGTTATTATGAAGGTTTTATTTGCCTTTTTGCTCGATCGTATGAAATCTACATATGGGTCTCAGTGGCCATGATTATTTTTTTAATTTTCTGGAATATCTAAGATTCTCGCATTGCGTTTGATTTACCTATTGCATGCATAGGATGGATAGGATTCAAAAAGTGAATGTAAGTATTCAACAAATACAGTTTTGCATGCTTCTTTGTTGTATGCACGGTATGTTTGGTAAATATACTTGAAGTACGTTCGTAATACGTGATTTCAGTGTATACAGCTGAGATTGTTTATGACCAATAGATATTGACGTAAAACTCTTCCTCGGTGTTTTCATAAAAACTAAATTCGGAATACAGTAATAAATAAAATTCCTAACAAATACCGAGAATATTGGCTTTTGACGAAGCACATAAATATCAAACCTCTCAGTTCCAAGAAAAGCAATCACGAAGCCAGTTCCCGGAAAAACGTACTCGCATTCCATTTACAAAATTAAATCATTTTTTTTTATAATTACTCCATGTAAGGCTTTCTTTTGTAAATTGCCTTTGAAGGTTTTATTTTTAATCTTGGCGTTATTTATGAGTTTAAATAACGATCAAAATAAAATTATATAAAAATATTTACGTTCTCTCTCTGTAGAACCGCTGTTGGGAGTCTCCTGCGACTCCGATGGCCTCCTCACATGCCACAAATCCTTATCGAAGCTATACATGTTCACAAGGCACTATTATCACTTTAGTTCACAATGTTCTCGTATTATTTAACAGGCATAATAAATAACTCAACTCATTATCACTGAAAGGTTATCGTTAAGTTAAAGTTGATAATGACACTGTTAAGACGACCGCCTGCCTCGACGTGTATTTATTGAATGAACCCAAGTATTCCAAATATGAATATTAAGCGTGCTCACAGGCTCACAGCAGACTGGCCGGAAAGATTCGTGGTTAATGGTAATATGGCCACTTCATAAACGGAAATGTTGGTAAAATGCTCCGTTGATCGATTGATGATTCATCCTTCACCAGTGATAATATAATTTTGTTTTGAGATTACTATCAGTTATGAAATTACTATATAAGAGTCGGTATTTCTAGCTGCTAAAGTGAACTAACATGACTTACATTTTATAATCATTGATTCACTACAGTTATTCTTAATTACAAAAGATGTATTGAATTAAAATTATATAATACATTATAAATTACAAATAAATAACACAACAAAATTGTAGTGCCATTTTGTCGCAGATGATTGAAAGGCGCGTAGCAACAGATTATGTTGCTCGACCCAAATACGACCCTATGTCAGCATGCCCGCAATGGCGACGAACGAACAGCTGAGCGGGCCACGTCATCGCACCCTGTTGATCTAGTCTTGATGACCTTCTAATAATACTAATACACTTATTAATATCATCTGTTTTATTTTCATTATATAGTTCAGTGATAGAAAATATATAATATTCAATTACAACTTCAATTTAGAGATTAAGTATATTCTTATTTTTAAAACCGAAAAAAGTATTATTATTCAACAATGTCGGCAACTAAGTTAGATAACATTTACTTTAAACGTTAAATAATATTATTGAACCGTATCGCAGTTAAAAGCAAAGCCATTATTTGAAATTTTTAGCATTCATTTCGTGTGGTTTGTGCGTTTGTTAGCGTTCATGTGATATGTTTGTAATGTCGCATTATGTATGCTGTACAATGACGTCATTCGTCTGGTCCTTGTTTGGCTTTTTTGCCTGTAATGCCATTCCTAACAAGCCGAGGCAGATTCAGGTTAATTCAAAATCTTCCGTGCGTAACACCATGCTTGATCTCCCGTGTCACTATAATAATTTGTAAGCATAACAATGACGACACATTTTTGTGTTTACATGTGCTTAGTTAGATTTTTCTATTGATTTTTTCTCGACCAAGAGCCAGCTAAACCTATTGAACACTTTTCCAAACACTACCTATCTACTTTTAGTACCTAACAAAAATAGTTTCCACACCTGATTCTTCATTAAACTCTCAATCTAGTTACGAGTGATAAATAAGTTTAAGTGCTTAGTGTTAATTAATGTAAACAAATGTTTATGTTTACTGCCAGCATCCTTGTCCTCACTTTAGAGTCATCATTATGCGTATCACTAACGGCATAATTGAGGATGCTTTGAATTTATAAGCCTTTTGATTCAATGTGACTAGTTTGTCTATACCTAAATTAATCTGGAGTTCAGGACGTGTAGTAACATGCACACGAGGATCGTCAAGACCAATTAGGTTAGTATTTTTATTGAGCCATCATAGTCCTAGGGCGAGGCATCCTAACAACCCACTTATGGCTAATTTATGAGTCTATTAGACTGTCTAACGCTATCCAACGTCTGAACGACACAATGCTAAGGCATGGATCTTGTATTTTTCCATTAAAACGTAATTACAGGGTCTGATGTAATCAAAATAATATTACTTAGTATTTAAATTACTAACGGATTGTTTGCCATTTAATAATATTATTATTGTTTGTTAAATTATCACTATACTGTCGACGCAAATTGCTACATTTGAGAGGCGAAATTTCGATAAACTTTAGGATGATGAAATACAAATATAGGGGGAAATCAAAGAACCTTAATTCCATACTAAATTAAATCCTGAGTAAACCCCTTCTTACTACAAAAAACTATACCTACTACAGACTATTAGATTTTAAACGTCGACGAGTTTTGGTTTCCAGCAGTACTTTTTTACTAAAATGTTACTAATGAACATAAAATGGAAAGTAAATAGCCAATAGCCGTATTGTAGACGACAGCATAATAATGCTTAATGCATAATTCATAAATTAAATTATGTGGGACACTAGAAATTGGCTATAGTAAAGAAAAAGCAGTTTGATCCACACAGCTGGCAGTGTTTTAGTGATTTGTAAAGACATTAGACTTATTGATGATAATTGTGGTGCATTGCTGTGTGCGAAGATTCAACTGGTCCATTATTAACTGTAACAACTAACGATCATACTAATTGATTACTTGGTAATTATAGCAAAGCTATTTGCTATAAACAACTTTAATAATTAAACCGATCGACAGGTTTTTTGCCATTCCAACACTAGAATATTTGATGCCTATATTCCTATTTTTAGATATAGATATCGCGTTGTCTATGTTTTCATTCAATGGCATGCAATAAGTGATTTTATTTGTATTTGTATACGAACTAGTTTCGTTAAAAGTATTTCGCAACTTTCACTGCTCTTACACTGCACTGTTGAATCCTCGCGTGGAGGTTTTAATCAATTTAACAAATTCATAGGTACTTCTCTTCAAATATTTAAAAACTTTTAATAACGTTGCTTAATTAACACAGTAACAACTATGGAAATACTTCACACATCTTATTTACACGCTTTAAAGAGAGCTTGTTAGTTCTATTAACCTATATTCTCACAAAACATTCTGCCTGTCTGCTATGAAATACATAGTAGGTAAATAATAACGTAAAATGGGTTCACAGTGTTGAAGCTTGGAGTGCTAACTGCGTTGCAAACAGTGCAAATAATTCAACTTAGCTAGAAACTTGTTAGCAGTGAGACACATTAGAATGTAATACTCGAATCGTACAAAAGCTTTCTTAAAGTATAGGTACAAACATGTCGTGTTATCACAGTGTCATTAAAAAATGTATGAGTTGCTTCAATATGGTGTGCCACGCGCCACGATGCCGCGTGTACGATCACAGCGGATTACTGCGTCCTCGGTGACACGGCCGGCTCACGGGACCGACGGACGCGGACTGAGAAACTGGACCCCACTGCAACACTCGCCCCACACACGCGACCCACCATTGTAAACAAAACGATACGATTTATAAGGTGACTTGATTACGTAGCCCCTGATCGCCTTTTGTTTTACTAATAATGAATTCGCAACACAAACAACAAGTTGCTACATTCCGCGATAGCAGAGAGAAAAATATTATTAAGTATGCTAAAAATAAAAAAAATATATGATAAGAACCACTAGTTGGTCTGTCTGTACATGTCGTCATGTAAATACACGACCCAATAGAAACATTGTTATTTAATTAAGGAAATAAAACAGTTAAAAATATTATAGCAAAGAAATAAAATAAAATCTATTACCATTTAATACAATTTAAATTCGATTGCCGCCAGTTTCTAGATTTCAAAACATCATCGTCACCCTATCATTGGCTAGCATACACCTTATGTAAGCAATCTAAAATTTCGCCTCCTCCCACAGACCTTCGATAGCTCAGTTGGTAGAGCGGTGGACTGTAGAGGAACAAATCACTGATATCCATAGGTCGCTGGTTCAAATCCGGCTCGAAGGAATTCTTTTTGTCATTACAATTTTTTCTATAAGTTTAGATTTGGCGATATTTTTTCTACATTTTCGTATATTATTGATTATTTAAATATGCGTATTTTTATAACACATTTTAATAGTTAAACTTGCATTATTATGATACCTACCTACATACAATAAAATATTTACGCAGATGAAAAATAAAAATTACAAGACTCCTAACACGTTACCATCGGGTATGTTTATAAAAAATGCAAAATCAAAGCAGTTTATAGCGGCGGAGTCTCTCGACTGGGCGCACGACTTTTTATATAGATCGCTTTACACAAACCTTTAAATATGCAACCGGCGACTATATTCAGTACCTAATTACTTCGAAACTATGCTGACCTTTTTAATGATAAGGAATATATGTATTGATTGCAAAATGTACCTAATGTTAAGATTACTGTAAGATCTAATTTGATTGCTGCTGTTTCTAGTGCAAATTCTCGAAATTGAGGGTCGAGTCGAGTTACTTACGTATAGTTATCATAATATAAGATATTTTTTAATTTAAACATAATTTATAGAAGTGTACTTTTGGTTTTCCAGATTTCACCATTCCATACACCCATTGGTCGTACGTAAAGTTAAAGTAATCCGAAACAAAAAGAATTTTCAATTTGAGCCAGCATTTCCTGAGATTAGCGCGTTCTAACAAACAAAGGGGCTCTTGAGCTATATGTCTATTATTAGGTAGAATATAGGTTCTACATTATTTGGTTTGGTTCATTTTATAATAGTAGTCTACCACATATGTATAGTTGACATTCCTAAGTAATTATTGATTTGCGAACTTTGACCTACATTTGGAATGAATAGGTGCCGATTTCGTGTTGATCACATTTGGTATTGCAAATAGTCTCTATACCTACATATCTATGTTTTATTTGACTATACTATATAATAATACCTATAAATGTCAAGTTGAGTAAGTATATCTACAAACAAAAGCATTGAAAAAACAACTTCTTTCCTTCCTTTAAATACGGTATCGGTAAGACTTTTTACTCTGTGGACGTTGGACATCGTGGAATAGGAATTTTAACAAAATTAAATTAACACAGCCATTGTTTTCATTATGATGCAAAAAGTCATTTACTGATAAGATATCTAATATTACTAAGACGGCCTTATGACTAAGACGGCCTATTACTTCTATAAAAAACTGAACTGTTGAGACAAAATTGGTACCCCAAGTCCAAAATCAAGTTCAACCGGTGTGGCGGGTTAAGCGCAATAAGGGCACTGGGGCCTCGATCTAGAGCAGGAGAAGGAACAGGGGGTTTTTAGTCAATAAGACACTCTCAAAACGGAAGAAGTAATTTGATGAATGAAAAAGTATGAATCAAACGATTTATTTTACATACATTACCTACAACAATTATAAGCTAACCCACATGTAAATAACAGCTAAGTAAATTGAGAAAGAAACGTCCTTGATTGTTAGTTAAAAAATAAACTCAGTACAATGAACATCACAACTGAACATTTCAATCGGAGACTGGAGATAAGGTAAAGTATCAAGGCCTTTGTGTAAGTGGCACAGATTAACTGACGATAGATACTGACACGCAGATAGTTCTGACATTGTAGTCTAGCTAAGACTTATCTATTTGTTTAGGTTTGTTTACAACAATGGCTTAGGTACTTTGACTTCGCGTTTTGTCCGATTTACACGGGCACTGTAAGTCAACGCTTAGTACTTGTCACTAAGTGTGGGAGAGCCATGCTTCGGCACGAATAGGCTAGCTTCTCCGGAGTGATACTACGGCATTCCTGAAAACTCGCGTGAAAGAACACTTACGTTGTTTTCACCGTGTGAGTGAGGTTACCGGAGGCCCAATAATTCATGCCTCCCCATCCTCAATCCTCAAATCTCCTATCCTATGGATAAATCCCTAATAAGCCCACAAAAGGTTTGCAACGCGCTTGTACTACTTTTGTATGTGGTACCCACTACGAGTGACCATCATGTAATCCGACTGCTTATTTGCCGACTTGTAACATAGAAAAAACTAATACTACTTAAGTCCTAATGTGTACACACGCTGATTAGTGCTTAGTATTAGTATTTGCGAATATTACAAGTGAATAGAAAACGATCCTATTTACTAAGTCAATATCAAGTAAGTACTAAGCACTTAGCTACAAAAGTCCGTGTAATCCGGGCATTTGACGCAGTGGCTGGGCGAAAGGCTAGCCACTGCGCAACGAGATGCGTTTTAAATTCCCGCAGGAAACAATTTTATAAGATCCGTAGTCCACAAATTATTGGTGGCCTTCATTACTTAATGTTTAAGTTATTGTATACTATATTTTTATCTCTTTAAATTGCTTAAAATATACACAAACTTTAATTTTAAAATGTGGGAGGACCATTCCACTGTCTGGACCCGACTGTTGTTGAGCACAGCCTCAGGACTACCGGCTTGAAACAATCATTGTGTTGTGTTTCACCCTGTGAGTGAGGTTACCTAATCTCACCCCCTTCCCCCTTATGCCCAATGCTCAAATCCTTATTCCTTGATGTAGCACTAGACTAATTTAGTACCTAAGACAGCAAAGTAGTTATTTGTGAAACAAATGTAAAATCTAGTCAGTTGGTTTAAAGTGATAACGATAATTAGCATACATATCTAATAATAATTGTGTAACAATAATAACACCGCGAAAAGGATTGTAAATACATAACTATAAAGTAGTAAATGTAGGATTACATAACACTCTTATAAATATTTACACCAGTGTTAAGTATATAAACACGAACGGAATATTTTGTCAAAGAATCTGTCATTGGACTTGTGTTATTATCTCCCAGGTTCAGTTCTCATAATTATTTTGCCAATTATAACGTTAAATAAAACGCTGAATTGGGAGTCCAGTAACCTCACTTTCACGGCCAGTGTTTTTCATGTTGGATTTATTTATACTCATATAAACGGCTTAGGTATCGTGGATTCGGGACAACTTTTACAGGATATTTTGGCCCTGCAGGATAACTTTTACACTTCCAAACCAATAAAAAACTAACCTAGTGTACAATTGGTTCTGTGTTATTTCGGGGTTTGGGTCAAAGTAATCCATAGTTACCAGGTATCTACTTCAGTTCTCAATCCCTGACCTTCTTTCGCATTCTTATTTAAGGCCAAACCTTTGGCTAAAGTTCAGCTTTAACTTAAACTTATACTTCCAACAGATTATCAGCTAAAGGTCATCTAACAATGCCTAGATTCCAGAACTTTCTTTCTTTATACGTCAGAGCTGAGAAGGATGACGTCATCACCTTTGTAACTCGGACTCATCCATGTGTTCAGAACTTGTCCCTATCTATATCGAATTTATTTATAACGCTTCAATAGATTACAGAGGTCACATTTTTCTTTCATAAAAATATGATATCGTTCTTTTTATAAACCTGAACGATGTTGATTTTCTCTCATATTTTTCTTTACTGCTAAACTAGCGATCTTCAATCTTAATATTATAATGATAAAGATCGAGTTTTAAAAGCCTACTTCTACATAATTATGTTCTTTAAAATTTAAATTTGGTTATCATTTGTTTTTTTTTATGTAATAGGTCAGTAAACGAGCAGGTGGATTACCTGATGGTTAGCAATCAGCGTCGCCCATGGACACCCGCAACAGAGGAGTTACGAGTGCGTTGCCGACCTTTTGGCGATTAGGGATTTGGGGATTTAGGGACTGGGGAAGGGGAATGATTGGGCCACCGGTAACGTCACTTACACGACGAAACATACGCTGTGGTTGTTTCACGCCGGTTTTCTATGAGGCCGTGGTATCACTCCGGTCGAGCCGACCCATTCGTGCCGAAGCTTGGCTCTCCCACACTTATCTGTTATTCTTTTAATGATTAAAATACATACCTATTTTATTTTAACGAATGTCAGGATCATAAAACTAAGCTTATCTAACTATCCAAAAATAGATTAAATACTTAAACAAACATTAAACAGCATCTTACCATCATCTTCGAAGAAGGAATCAGTGATGATCCTCGGAGATCTTGATCCGTCTTGTACGCCTCTTATTGACATTTTACACGTATTTGTCCATCACTATGTTACACTTAAACTTTTTCCTAATTTACACAGTAAAAACTGTAATCAATGATTCTATTTTTAAAAAACTTTAGTTATTTCCTTATTTAAAAAAAAACTTAAAGTTACAACAGTTTACTAGAAGGGGTAATAAAACCTAGATACTTATTAGTGCTTGAATATTTTTTCTAGTTTTTAAAGATACAATCATGAATAACGTGGCGTCATAGCGGTCTACTGAACGGAGTGGCTTGTGTCCAATGGATATTCTTGTTGCTAAATCTGTACTTGTCAATATATAAGATTTATTACGTGATAACAGTAAATCTGCAACGTTAGGACGTAGTCAGTACCTACAGGTGCATTCGTGTGTTTGTTCGTGATTGAGAGAATTTATAGTGTCGATATTAAATCAGCTTTATGACTGAGAAATGCCAAATGGGACACACAGTATCAAAGTTTAAGTCACTAATTATGAACGTAAAGAAAATGTT